TAGTCCAAGTACTTCTAGGATGTGTGCCCGCACTATTAGACGATCGATTTTCACTAATAGTAGTTACAACGAGGGATAATTCCGTTAGTAGCGTAAGATGATCCGAGGATCATCCGGATGAAATCAAACCGTGTTCTTACTCGTTAGACGATGGATTCTCGCTAACGGTAGTTACAACGAGGGATAATTCCGTTGTAGCAGAAGGTGATCTCGCGGACCACCCGGATGATAAATAGAGTAGATCGGCTAATACCTGTGGTACCCGAGATTAAAATTTATGAGTATGGTGGGAAGTCAAAACAACATTACATATCACGTGCATCACCCCGCTTGCGAGCTTCGGCTCACCTCGTTGTTATTTTTTTTATGTCTTGACGAGAAAAGGACGAGTTGGTACGGATGCGGCTGACTCCTCCTAACCGGCTCATGTGAGGCACTATTTATTAGTTTTTATTTTGTCCGTAAATTTGGGGTATGGAGTTCGTGAGAAATTGAATATCGCCCGTAATGTTTTATTAATGTATTTAATTATGTTATGTAAATTTTATCTTAAGGAGTTATATACGTACTGTATCGTTAAAGTCCTAAGAATATCATAAGAAAACTACTTAGAGTTTAAGGTATGTCGCCGTAACGCGCTTCGTCCAAGCACTCTACTTGGGTAGTAGAAATATGATCGGGGCGGGGCGTTATACTTTTAATATTTAATTCCTTGAGTCCTGCAAGTACTCATCAAAAAGGCCCGAATATTCACCACCATTATCTCGTTTGAACACAATTAAATTTCCTTCGTGTTTATATTTCTATCAAAGTTTGAAACTGCTTGAAAACCCCAAGAACTTGATCTTTCTATCTCAATGTATAAACTCATACCTTTTGTGAGTAGTCATCTATGAAAGTCATAAAGTAATAGAAGCTATCTTTTGACATTTTTTTCTTAGGACCACATACATTTGAATATACTAGCTCAAAGGGATTCTGTTTCCTTGTAGGTGGATAGCTCCTAAAGGAAATTCTATTACGTTTTCCAGCCAAATAATTTGGATAATTCTTTAAGTGATTATCTTGTATCTTAGACAATAATTTTTTCTTTTTCAACACTACTATGCCTTTCTCATCCAAATGAGCTAATCTCTTAGGCTATAGTTCGGTAGCTTCCTCACCTCTAAGAACATTCACATCATCATTCAATAATTTAGCATGCATGACATATAAAGAAGAGCACTTCTCTCTTTTTTCTAGTATCATAGAACCCTTAGACAGTTTTCACATATAACTTTTGAATGTGTTGTAAAACTCTTCATCATCAAGTCTTTCAACCGAGATTAAATTCAAGCGAAAGTTAGGAACATGCTTCAAAATTAGTTTTACTTCGATATAAGACTCTAAGCACGCATCTCTAATACCAAGAACTTTGGATAACCCATTATTGCTAACCCTCACTATCCCAAAATTTGGCGTGTATGAGAATAAAAAAACTCTTTATAAGATGTAGCATGTACGAAACTTCATTGTCAACTACCTAATTATGCTCATTTGATGCTTTATTAACTTCATCCGTATCATATGTAGTCGGGAACTCATTAGCTATATTAACTTGGTCTTCATCGGGACCATTTTCATTTTGCTTGATTTTATTCTTCTTGTTGTCTTTCTTTAGTTTTCAGTAATATTTCTTAATGTTACCCATATCACCACAGATGATAACACTCTATATTTGCAAACTTGCCTCTAGACTTGCTTTGCTTTTGGATCCTTACTTTTACTCCTCCTTTTTCCTATAGTAACTAGCACATCGGACTATGAAGAAAAATTTTGAGTCTTCCTTTTAACTTCTTCATTGAGAATCATATTTTTAGCATAGGTTAAGGTCATCTTCCCATCGAAGCGGAATTACGGTGTTACGAAATGTCTCTCAAGAATCCGATAATGAGCCAAACAAATACAACCTAATAATAGATCTTTCATTTTTCTCTTTCACATGTAATAATTGGTTTCATTCGGACTTATCATTTTAATGTTACCTCCATATTTTTCAAGCTAAAAATAAGTAACCAAACTCGATACCATTTTGTTAAGTAAAAAATTACAAATAATACAGTAGAATCTCTTTATCCTTGCTTGAACAATTAAGGGCTATAAACAAATATCCAAGACAAAGCAACTAATAATCTGAAAAACAGAATATTAATCACACAAAGAACATATAAATTGTATGTGAAAAACCTTTTCAATTTGAGAAGAAAAAATCATGAAACCAAAGTCCGGAAAGACTTCTACTATCAATAATAATAGGTAATGCGAGGAGTTCTTTCTAGATTAAACTAGAAGAATACATCAACCACAAGCATCAAAGGTTGCACATCCTTGGTAAACCTTATCAATAGATAATACATAAAGAAAAGAGAAGAAATTAAGTTTAGATTTTACCAAAAAATAGTACTCGTTGTAAGCATCATATATCACTCTTCAAGACACAAAACTAGATCTCCACCATTCAGAATGTGCGCCTGTCTCTTCCGAACATGTCTACAAAATTTGAGCTTGATCCAACAGTTAACGAACTCGAAATTTTAATTTTACCATGATTGATCTATGTTGAAACTTTCTTTCTCTCTCTTCTTTTTTCTCGTTACTTTCTTTTCTAATCTGATCTCAAAATTAAAAAAAAAAGATGATTTTTAAAAAATATCTAAATTATTCTTTAAATGATTAAAAAAATCTTTCTCCATGTAGGCTTTCAGATTGGACTCGTATATATAAATCTTTAGATAATCCTCCAACACAGGAGAAACGCAACAATTCATATACAGCTAGTACAACCACCAAGAAAAGAGGATTGGGAAATTAAAAACTGATGCGCCTTCCTTGTTAAAATTTATTGCAATGAAAGGACATTTGAGCAACCTTTAATGGCAACTTAATAGTGACTACTACTGATCCAAATCATAGATAAAAGAATGCATGCCATTGTCATACGTTGGACTGAATAATCAGATTTCCATTAATGAATTGATTTTTGCCTCTCCTTAAGCCAATGAAATCTTGCCACATACTTTGTCATACCACCTAACTAGGCGTTATGGAGTTCGCTGCAAAATATGGGACTATTTCTGCTTTTCGATTTTTAATTCTGACTGCCTGGCTACTACATTGATTTTTCCGGATTTTCTCCGATACAAGAGTATACAGTATTCTTCTGACTTAGAAAGAGTGTTTTTTTTTTTTCAATTTTTACATGTTTTCAAATATTTATCTGATTAAACTTTTAAATTATATATTTTTTCTGAAATATTTTTAATTGATAAAGAAATTCAATTCTTTCTTCTATTTCTTGTTCTTCAGTAAAAAAAAAAAAAAAATCAATATTTTTTTTATATTTCTTTCTTATACGTATAAATGCCTATAGAAATTTTGAAAGAAATTTTTTTGCTACATAACAAATATTTATTTTTTAAAAATTTTTACTATATGTCAAAATTTTAAGAGTATAATATTTTCATTAGTATGTTATTTTGATTTATTATTTTAATTTTAGATAGATTTTTTTAAAATTAATATTGGTTCTATGTAATACATAATTAAATTTGATAACTAATAATTTTAATAGAAATGATATTTTTAAAAAATATACTGATATAACATAATAATTAATATATTTTTTAAAATGCATAAAAAGTAAAAAAAAGAAAAAAAAAAGGGACAATATTTGAGTAACACAGTAAATAACTAGCAGGACCCCCTCCCCGTGGGTGCGTGCTTATTGCTAGAAGTCACTGAAGAATTGGATCAATAAAGAAGCCTAACTACTCCCTAGATATGCCAACCAGTGGCGGAGCTATAGCTTTTGCTTTCGAGGGGTCCAAACTAAAACTTTCTCATTACTGACTAGTGTTTTGGCCACCGAGCAGACAACTTTATAAAATCTGTTTGATATTTTAATTAATTATAAAAAATAAAAATTAATCAATATTAGCTATAAATTTTAACTTAATATATATTTTATAGCATATAATATTCTGTCTGTGTTTTATTTTTTGAGTTTAAATAAATCAAGAAAATTATAATTAATTTATACAACTTACAAATTACCTATGTTAAAATGAAATTATACACTCGTTATCTTTTTCAAATATATTTTGTATTACAAATGATTTATGATCACAAAATATTGTCAAAATTTCATAAATTAAATCGAAAAAATAATACTTATCTTTTTACCAATTTTTTTGTCAACTAATATATATTTTGTATCCCATTTCTTTTAGTATGCTTTTTTTATACATAATTATTCAAGCCTTCATGTGAAAAAGACAATTTCTCATGCATTGTTTTATATATATATAGTTTTTGTATTCCAAATTCTCGTTTTCAGATTTTCCCCTATTTTATATAGTTATAAGACTTTTGACTCTTGGATGTGTTATGAGCTCGAGAGAATTGACAAGAGCTTCCGTACTTGAAAAAAAATATTTTTTTTTATGACTAAAGATCTTGATTTGAAGGATCAGATCATTTGCCATTGCCACATAGAATTATGTTATTGTGAAATCTTCGACTGATGACACAATATTTTGATCACTGTCAACTTACTATTGCCCATTAGACATAAGAACGCCCATTTATTCCTATGCCATCTATTTTTAGTTTACTGTACTCTTTGACATAAATAAAATAAAATGACACGTAGCAGTTTTTTATTGGTGGGATTTTTTTTTTTTTAACAGAGCCATCACCCCAGAATGACGATAAATCCAACTAGATTAAAGCTTTCCATCCGTTTCGAGGCCAACTCCATTCCGATACATTTGGCACCAAAAGGATTCATCATTAACCATGCAACACATGTCTAGGGATCATATAGGTAAATAAATACACAGCCGAAATTAGTTCACACTTCCACGACCACTACGTTGAAGCATTAACGGAACAACTTTCAGTCGCTATGCTCCCCTAATCCGAGTGCAGCAAGTAAGAGAACTCATTGGAGTTACAGTGCATCAGGGAGATTTCCATGCGGCAGAGGCTACTTTTACAAAATGATCCCGGGCATTTCTAATCCGTTCATTTATGGCTTCAGCATGGGATTGCAACTTGGAAAGATCAAGGTCCTTAACCTCCATCTTTGCCTTGGTTAAGGCAAGTTCTTCCTGAAGCTCGGCTATCTTCTTTTCAATATCGTTCATCTTCTCTTCCAGCTTACTTTTCTCATCAGTATGCACTCGTATTTTCCCTTCAGTATCTTTATACTCATTTAGTACCTTCCCTTGCCCATCTTTAATTGAAAGCAATTCATTCAACCTACCGCGTGGCACAGTGATATCAAATCCATGCTTCTCCAAGTCAAGAAGACTTTCCAATGTACTCTCTAATATGCTTCTAAAATCATCAAATTGAAGCGAAGATATCTTCTCACACAAACTAGCAAATGTTACCATAATACCAATGGCTGATCCTTCACGATACTCTTCTTTACATTCAGTCAAAGGATGAAAATGCGGTTTTTGCGGGATGATTTGGAATACTTCCATAGATTCAATCGTGCTCCAAACTGGAGACCTCTTTACAAAAGGTACCGACTGATTTTCCACCGGCGGGTCATTGCCTTCTGCATCTGCTGTACAAGATTCCACTGCTACAACTTGTCTTTCTCTAGCCTCACTCCCTCCACTTGCAGCCCTATTGGTAGATGATCCTGAACGGGAAATATATAATAAGCAAAACTACAGGAGGAAATGCATGTCAAATGTTGACTTACTTAATTCTTCAAGACTTGTAGATGCATGCATTCCCGCAAACCAGGTTGATAGAGGTTGATCATCATCCGCCACTTTCTTCGATGCAGCAGTAACAGCCGTCTCAACTTCCCTTGACATGAAATCTGTCTTGGAAACTTCACTGCTTTTCTCTCTTGAGGAATTTTGAGAAACTGCATAATTCCAAATCAGGCTTTGGTAAGGGACATGCATTTTTGAATATGTGTTTTGAGAGTGTTGTAGCTTTCATGTTTCCGTTTTTCTTATGATAAAGTGTGCTTTTGTGTGAGAGAGAGGAGAGAGAGAGAAGGGACCGGAGGCAAGGCAAACTATCTTCTCATGCTATCAACTTTTTGGAGATATATCTCCCAAAGATGAACCAACCAGTATCCCATAGCAAAAGAGAGATGGCAAAGGAAATGGAGAATCGGAAACTTAGGTTGTGTCAAACAAGAGAACCAAAACTCCAGTCTCCATTCTTCTAGGAAAGATTTCAGGAAACAATGCTGTTATCCAGTCGAAGAACAAACATGGCAAAAGAAATGGAGAACTGGAAACTTAGAACTGATTTTGTTGTAGTGGCTATTTAAAAAATCGGTATGAGAATCTAACCTTTCTAAGACATCTATGACAAAACAGAAAATGATTTTATCCACAAAAGAATTCAAAAGCATGCCATGCCCTAAGCAAACCTAAAATCAATATGTATGTCATCACAGTGGAAAGTAATGAAAATTATTGGTTTGCTTAATAGCATCCTTCTGATGACGGCTACAGCTGTTTGCCTAATACTTCCACAGTAGTTTCATTTGGCAGTCTCTCTTTCTTAGCCGGTGATATCCTAATAATATAGCTCATTGCATTCTGGGTATTGGTGGATAAGTCAGAAATTCCCTTTTGTTTTAGCTTAAAACTTTCACAACAGATTTTCCTTGCAGGAAGGCATAAAATAACTCAGGTTTGAAGCCCTCCATACCTTTAGGCTCCACCCTTGTCTGTATCGGCCACTCAACTTCATTACTAGTAAGATCTTTCACAATCACTTGTACAACTTCATCAGCAATGTCTCCAGAGCCAAGGTCCTCCTTACCTGCATGTTATATTGCATATCTGTGTATCTTTAAAAAATTACAAAATGACCATCCAACAAGTTGTGGTTTAAAGCGTTTACATACTAGCCACCAAAGCCTTTGAGTTTATGATTAATTTGCGCGGTCTTCCCCTCTTTCTCCTTTGACTGCTTCCTACATGTTCCTGCACCAAAAAGAACAAACATGAGAGCTGGTGCCATCTGGTCAAGGAATAAAAAGAACAAGATAGAACATAAATCATTATAGGGGCCTTCTTCTCCAGGTTTGGTTAAAGAATCAGAGAAAGTAGGTCTGCAACATTATAAGCACTGGCATGTTGAGATGACATAAAGGGTATAATGACCACTGAAGTAACCTCCTATACAAGTAATATTTTATGTTCCATGCTTTTGCACATTCTAATGGCAATGAAATGAAGAACCACATGTATGTATGGCAACTTTTTTCCCTGAAAATTGGTGTCATTTCAATCAAATGCCAGAACAACCAAATTCCATGGCCAACACTAATGAAATGGCTGTGCACTTTGATTCCTCAAAACTTAGGTCAATGTATGATGCCAAAATAGGCACACCAATCACTTATCCAACCACTCAAACAAACTACACTGAAGAGTATCATTCCTTTCTATACAATAACAGAATACCACTTCTATGAAGCATGCCGAAGTAAAAATCGAATTACCATTAGGATGAGAGAGCCTGCAACCTAATTTAACATTTCAAAATACGGCAACACTTTCAAAGGAACCCCCACCCCTGTTTAATGTCTGAAACTGTAATTAAATGGAAACTTCAAAACTAAATTCCCAATACAACCATTACAACCATTACTGAATTAGCATCATGCTAGTTGGATACCCATGCTACGTTGCGGTCCGATAACCGTTCTATACATAAAGTCAACGATTCGAACGATATATTACGGATAAAAATTTTATTTTTCATAATTAATATAAATCAAATCTATTTGCTGAGCAAAATCATTTAATTTATATATATTTATCAACAAAATAATCAATAATATTAATATAAAAAATTGTATTTGAATAATTGAACGGTTCTTCTCAAACATTATTTCAATTATTGTATTTAAAAAATATTGATTTTAGAACATAAAAATGAATAATGAATAAATAATTGATATTATGTATGCAAATACATAATTAATTTTCAATATATATATATATTCAATTGATTTAGAATATATAGTATAAATATTTTTTTAAAAAAAAATCTAAGTTATATGGAATATATTAAAATCAATAAATTAAAATAAAAATTATTACAAAATTAGTTTCCATAAATTCTTAATTTATGATGAATTTGATTCTTGAATTGCAAATTAAATAATAAATTAGTTCATCTCATTTTGAGAAATTAATTAATTAATTCTTTTGGTTTGAAAAATAAATTTTTTAATTTTTTAATCAGTATTGATCACGAATAATTTATTTTTTTATTTTATAAAATGTCTTTTTTTCATATTTTACTTTTTTTTTCCTAAGATCATTTTTAATCTTCAAATTTACCATTTTCTTAATTCTATATGGTGGTCCTAAAAAACTAAAAGAAATGAGGTCTCTAGTTACCATTTTTATAAATCATTGAAATTTATTTGCACCTCCCTCTTTCCAATTCGATATCTCAAAAACCATCTTTACCTTCCTCTCGCTGCATTTATTTTTATTTTTCTCCTTTCTCTTTTCACCCACATTAATCTATACAATTACCCGAGAACGAATAAGAATCACTAAAACAACCCAACATAGAATTTCATGGTCTCTTTATACAATACTAAGATACTTTTGATTAGATAAGATAATTTTCTTCAAAAAAATAAAATGTCTTTTTTCATATTTTACTTTTTTTTTCTATTTCTTAAAACAAAAAATAAAAATAATAAAATGGTAAAAAAGACAAAAAAAAATTAGTTTTCAAATCAAAGAGACTAATTAATTTATTTCTCAAAGAAATAGGGACCAAGAAACAACAAAGAAATGTATGAACAAGGACATTGGGTGAGGAGCTACAGTAACTGAATAATCTCACCTTCATTTCTTTTAGTTTTTTTTTTTATAATTATAATATTATAAAACCTTAAGATGCTGTTTGGTAATCAGGAATGAAGAGATGAGAATGAGAATAGAAGTTTTATTCTCACCTTGTAGCTGTTTGGTTGAAAGGAATGAAGTGAGAATAAGAATGAAAATTATACACAACTTCATTCTCATTTAAAATGTGGGAATAAAAACAAGAAATGAGAATGAAATTCTTTTTTTTTTAAATAATAATATATTTTATTTATTTATTGTATATCCACTACTTCTACTACCACCGTCACCACCACCACAACCACCATCACCACGACCACCATTACTTTTATTATTTTTACAACTATTATAATTTGATAAAATTATTTTTTAAATCATTATTTTTATTTATATAAAAAACTATATATTAAAAAATTTAAATTGCATTTTAATTCGTCATTAGTATTCCAAACACGGTATGAAAATACAAATAACATTTCGATTTCCTAATTTTCATTCCATCTTTTGCATTTTCATTCCGAACCTTTCATACCCGATAGCCAAACAACACTCAAGTTTTATCCTATCAATAAGCTACCATCTCTTTCTCAAAATTAGATGTTCTCATACGCTCTCATACTTATCAGCTTATCTTGGTGGTTTTCCTAAACTTTTAAAATGCAGCCCCCCACCTCAACCAAACCCCCCCCCCCCCAAAAAAAAAGAAAAAATAAAATAAAAATGGAAACCTCTTGCTTACCGAGTTCTTGTCTTTTGCTGAATCATTCAAACTCTTCTTCTGATCCCTCAGAAGCTTCAGCGGTTCCTTGTCATCCTGATAAATGCCCTCTAAAGCTTTTAACCCTATGATAAGAGGAACTTCAATTTCTTTTGCTTTAACGTCAATCTCACTGATGCCTTGAACAGCAACTTCCACTGCATTGCCATCCTTCACTGAAAATCACTCAATATAAGAGATCTTGTGAATAAAAGAAATAAGCAATGTAACAGACATTAGCAAGTGAAGAAAAATATACCTGCTGCTGAAGCATTTGGACTTCTAAATGGTGATTTGGTGACTCTCCCTTTCCTCGTTACAATGTCCACTTTCTGGCAGTCCAAATCAAGCACTTTCTGTTGCTTAGTCTTCTGTATCTGTAAGGGACAATGCCAGTCAGCATATATATATATATATATATAACAGGGAAAAAAATGGAAGAATAAGGTCCTGTCAGAAAGACTGACAGAACAAACAAAAGTGATCATAGATGGGTGATCATCAATTCCAATGAGAAAGCTGAACTTATTTTATTTTTAAAAAACTAGGCTTAACAGTTGCCCAATCTACAAAAACAAGTATAATAATTTATTTGATCTTCCAAGTGCACGTTTGAACTACTGATTATTTCATAAACGTTGCACATGAAATGCTGCTTGTAAAGCTCTTTCGTCAAGTGTGTGATAATAAAATAAAAAAATTAAAAATTATGGCGGCGAGACTGAAAGTAAGCCTTTCAATATAATAGTGTTTCATGGACCCACCTTACTCTCACAAAATGCCGACCAAGGTTAGTATAAATCATATGTCAATATTTGAATATTTCACTGAATCACAACCAGGGTGTGCAGACCATCCCAAAAAATAAAATAAATGCTTCAATTAGAAGTATAGGATGTAAAATTGATGAGGGATTCGAATGATGAAATTCAACTCACAGTTGTCTTTCCTGCAGAAGAATTTTCGGAGTTGACAGAAGGCTGAGCACCAACCACAGGTTTTTCTATGCATCTTGTTCTTTTACCCCCTGTTTTTGAAGAGGTAAAACCACATAGTATTTCGTTACTTGACATTTCAATTGGGATCTTCCTAGATTGCAGTGCTGGAATTGATAACGGGGCCTCAATAGCATCTACTTCAGTTAGCGTACTGGAAGGGCTTGAATGCATGCCACTACCATTATAAAGTGTCAGCTTTAGCTTCTTCGCTGATTTTTCACCCGAATGAGTTGACTGCTCAGCTGGATTCCTTACATTTGTGGAAACTGTTTTCTCTTTGGTCTTATCCTCAGCAGCACTTGAGCTTTTGTGTTGTACTGTCACATCAGGTTTGTTATTATTGTTGGTGCCACCAATCCGTCCTTGACTATCAGAAACAATTCTAACTTCCTGAATGATAACCAGTGAAGTTAAGCTACCAAAAGATGATGGGAATTTTCTGCCATGTTTTTAGCTTCCTAACTTCATTCCATACAATCCCGTCAAACTTTAGGAAATAAATGCATCAAACTATCGCAAAACACCAAGTCAAATGAAAAGATAGCTCAAATGATCACCTGAGCTCCTCAAGCACTGCCTATTTACATGTCAAGAAAAGTAAGGCAAGATTCAATATGCTAGATTAGTCACTTAATTATGCATTCTAAATACTTCTAGTGCAAAATGCAACAATGTGAGGTTGCTTATAAGAGAACTGCTGGTAATATACATGTGTATGTATAGGCGAGCACACATAACAGATAAAGCCATACATTGTTAGACAGCATATGAAACAATACAAAAGTGAATTAGATCCATGCCGCACCGTTCCTAAGCCTTGGTCAACAGCTCAATTTTTAATCATTTTCCCTTCTTTTTCTCCTATATGGACCAAATCAATCTGCAATCAATCTTAAACTGTAGACCATAAAGGTCGTAAATGTCTTATATTGATCAGTTGATGTTCCAATACAGAGCAAGAGATGAAAACCACTCAATATAAAGAGCTAGCATTAGCTTAATCAGAACGACAAGGAAGAGCTAAACCTAATAATAGCTCACTGTTGGGGAATGATCAACATCTTTCCACCCATAGGAACAAATCTAGATGTGCAACCAACACCATATTTAACAGCAGACCCTTGCTACTGATAAGAACACAAACTTACTAAAAACCCAAATGCATATTATACCTTTGATTTACTAATCCATTTTCCATCAACCCATTCCAGATGAGGCCTTATCTTTGATTGACTAAGTTCCCTGTCCTCATTTCCCTGCTTAAAAAAGACATTGTATCTCCTCCCAGCAAGAAGTTTTGTAATTACTCCAGATCTCCAACCAAATCCATATCGCGTATCTACCCTTTCCAGCAACTCATAATTTCTGTCTGCATAAGCAGGAGGAGGGGGCGAATGTGAAGAGAATCTACAACTGTTTTCATTGTTCCAACCTCATCACTATTCCGTGAGCTTTCACACTTCACCAAGAAAGTGTTATCCTCGTTTTCTTTGATGACAACTGCAGGCAACCAAATATCACGTACATTATCTTTTTCAAGGTTCACTTCTACTTCTGTCCCTGAGCTAAAAACCGACCCTGTAGCTTGCTTTAAAAATCAAATTGAGAAACAAAATCACTCATATGATAAAAAAGTCAAACAGAGAGCACATATATATATATTTCAACTCTATTGATAAAATGGAAAGAAAAAACGCGGCTATATTGATTTTAGAGATTGTGGAAGCCCAAAGAAAAGATGACTAGATGATGAATTCACAAATTAATACAAGATAAACTAAAATCCAAAGCTGCGGCAATAAGAAAGTACTGAGCAGGTACTACATGTCATTTTCAGAACTTAACATATATAACTCAAGCTGCCATACACTATAAGTATGCAAAGAGTGGGGAGATTGTTCGTTACATGACCTAAATACAAGCAATTGTTTAATCTAAGCAAGCGAAAACAAACAAAGAAACGGCAGCTAAAATAAGTGACCCCAAAGTGCTCCTTTGATTCGTGCACGTAGGACCACAAAAATCCTCGGCATCCAAATTTTGAAACACAACATGCAATTGAGCCATTTAATTTCTAGTAAGATTCTAAACCACCCACAATTAGATAGATCTAAGACTTTTAACAGAACATGCAACACAATTTCATAAAAACCTAAACAATATCAAAACGCAACCAATTCAAACACAAGAAAAGAAGAAGAAGAAGAAGAAGAAGAAGAAGTAAAAATTCAAAAGCCTCAATTTCATGAAAATGAGAAATACCTGCTGCATTTCGGGTCGGACCCAGATGCCATCAACCCAATCTAAATGAAGCCTTAAATCTTTGGCAGCAAACGGAAGAACATCAGGTGGGTTATCAAAATAAACCATATATCTTGAACCCCCATCAAGAACCTTTTTTACAATACCAGACCACCAGCCATCTCTGAGAGATGCATCAATGGCTTCGTTTTCTTGAAAAACCCCACCATTTTTCAGTAAATCTTGAGGAGGCAAAGGCCTAATGAGATGAGGGTCGACTTGTTCTACCAAAGGAGCAGACCCATCTTCCGTAACCAAAGTTTTATACTGAACAACCGCTTTCTTTTTCTTCTTGGAAGCTGATTTTGACATTTGATGTGGTGTTGGGAATTCTAAAATGGTAGCCACATACCATGCACCCCTAAAACCTTCCTCGTCACTGCTTACTTCTACTTCCTCATCTTTGTTGAAGAAGACAGTAATAGTCTGCTTCTGCTGTTGGGTTTGGGGTAGGGGATTCGAATCGAAGCCTACCATAATTTTTCTTTCTTTTGCGTTAGTGTGAGAAGTAAACCCTAGGGCGAGGGGGTTTTGTTTTGTGCATTTTATTTTTAATTTTTTCTTTTTCGTTGTGTTTTTTGGGTGCCTTTCACGGTGAATCCAGTTAAACCAGATGGCAAGCAGCTAAGCGGATGGATAATATTTAGTGGGGTTTTCGGCGGGATTGTGCGGTGCTGTGTGCCTGTGTTGTGATGAGTGGGAAATTGGGAATGGCGCAGTCTTAGCTCGAAAAGTTCAGTTTAAACAGAAAAATCCAACCGAACCATTATGATTTGGATAATTCGATTTGATTTATTTGATATTTAGTTTATTTATAATTTGATGGCATAACCTTAATTTTAGTTTGATTAAAAATTGAACTAACCAAAGAAACCATTTTTAATTTTTTTCAAAAAAAAGTTTTAAAAATAGAAATTTTATTTGAGAAAAAATTTAAAAACCGAGAATAAATATTTATACTTGCATAAAACAATTCTTCACAAGCTTGGTTTGGTTTGGTTTGTTTCAAAACCGAACCAAACAAACGTTTGCACAACCCCAACTCTAACCCGAGATGCAAAGATTCATCTAACCACAAACGACACACAGTTCCCTCTGAACGAAGGAAGGAACGCAGAGGCAAGCTACTAAGGAATTCCCAAAATAATCAATTCAACCTCTCCCCTCAAAAACACAAAAATCATGGCATCTTCAGCGACAACGGCACTGCCCAAAATCATACCTTCTGGTCCGAAAATCCCATCAATCAATTCGCGTCCATGCCCACCACAATCCTTAACCATAAAACAACGCATACCACTCACTGGAATCCGAAGAAGGGTCTTCCACAAAACTGCCATCAGAGCTACTGGTTCCTCATCTCCTGGACTCTACTCGGCCCAGCAATTCGAACTCAACCCTCAAAACGTGAACCTTGTTCTAGAGGAGGTTCGGCCTTACTTGATTTCTGATGGTGGAAACGTCGATGTTGTGTCTGTTGAAGATGGTGTTATCACTCTCAAACTCCAAGGTCATTTCTTCTTCACTCGAATCCAATTTTTCTTGATTTTTTTTATACAATTGACGATGATGGGTTTGCTTACCCAGTTTGAATGAATAACAGGAGCATGTGGGAACTGTCCAAGTTCAGAAACCACCATGAAAATGGGAATTGAAAGAGTTCTTAAAGAAAAATTTGGAGATGCTGTTAAAGATATTCGCCAAGTATCTGACGAAGAACCGAAGGAGACAAATGTTGAGGTAAGTCCCATCTTGCAATACCCTTTGTTTATTTTTGGTTTTGTGTTGTATTTGTTTGATTATTGTAATAGTTATTCAATTCTGGCTGATGTGGAAACGTAGGCAGTAAATGATCATCTGGATATACTGAGACCAGCTATTAAAAATTTCGGAGGAAGTGTGGAAGTGCTATCTGTTGAGAATGGGGAATGCCGTGTTCAGTACGCCGGACCTGATTCTATTGGCTCAGGAATCAGAGCAGCGATCAAGGAGAAGTTTCCAGACATTGTGGATGTTGTTTTTGTTGGCTAGGTCAGCAAGGATCTATATTAGAAATTCAGTTTACTGACTATCCATGTAGAAATACACGGGAGACTACTGCACTTTGATTTATAGTTAAGCACAGATACAGCCCGTCAAAGGGTACTTGTCTTTTGTATTTTCCCTCTCCTTTTACCATGCCTTCTATTATCCTTCAGATATGAACATGAGTGTGTACATTTTTGAAGAATCAATGAATTGAATTAATTAAAGGAACTGCAGAGCTATGGTTCCTGGACCTTCTCTTATTTTCCAGGAATAGCTCAAAAAACAACCACCATCAAAATTTCAAACTTAGCTAAAAAATGTAGAAGCTATGGAAACAGATGTTAGAAATTACTGCAGGACTTGATTTGCCTGCTTGCATTCCCGTTTCTGTTCATCTATTCGCTACATGTTGGTCTTCTATTTCATTATGCACTATTGATCAAGTTCAAATTTGTGTTTCCCTGTGTTTGTAAATGATGCATGGTTTTCTGATCAGTGTTTGTAATTTTTATCCCTCTGTTAAATATTTCCACAAGCCAGACCTGTTTTTCTTTTGATATACCTGCAGAAGTGTCTTCTTCATACATCAATGTCTTCTATCTAAAAGAGGAAAACAAAAGGATAATCGTTGTGCTCAGAAACTGCGTATCTCATTTAGCACGTCTTGCTATCTCACAACCACTTTCGGGGCACATAACTGATTCCCTTTATGCTTCTGCTGGTTTTCCCATTTTTAGTTCCTGTACTGGAAGAAATACAGAGAGAGTTGTCAGGAGAAGTTATAATTGATCTCAACCAGTGCGATACTGATCAGAAATGGTGTGTAAACAAAGTAGCGAGATGCTGTCTAAGTGATCAATCTCTGCATACAAAGAACATTGCCTTATTTTCTTAAGCAATAGTAGGTTTTAGCCATTTATGGTGTTGTTCAATTGTTTGGTATCAAGAGAATTATCTGACCAAGGATCTCGATATTTGCTTGCGGTGAATACCAAAGGTGGAAGAACCTGAAAATGGTACCAACAGATCAATAATGCTTCTCATTATGGGTATTTCAGCTAGCGGACCTCAGAGACCTCGGACGGAAGCCAGGGTGAATCCAAGCCTTACTCTGTCCAGGGAAAAGCATATAAATTCTGCTCTTGTATAAAGATTTAGAGGCAGAACCAAACTTTACAGGAATTTCAACGACATTTTATTTGAAGCTCGTGTCTGTGTCTGTGTACGCTGGTCAACAGCTTAAGCTTCGGGACGGGGTCGACATATTGTTCATTTCAATTGGAACGACACACCATACTACGAGCCTGGCATTTCAATTGGTTCTTTTGCGGGTTATGAATGGAACTCTTGCAGTTTGATGAATTGGGAACTCCGGGCAAGGCCCTGGTTTTGGAACAGTTTCAAATGGATTCTCAGAGGGATAGGTAGTTTATGTCGGATGTCATCCTTGAAAACAAGAAGTATTGAAAATAGCATTAGTTAATAATCCAATCAATTAGACTCCATATTTTTTAGCCTAGGAACACCAACATAGTTATCCTATTTTTATTCCCTAACAACCTAGAAATTCATGCATCATTGTTCCTGACTTTTGGAGTCCATTGTTGTACGAGATAGGCTTTCCCAGGGCGAAACCCGACTAGGAAATCAGGCCCAAAATAACTTATCAAGTTCACATGTGTGACGTATAGATAAATTACTGAAAATATACTTATTTCTTTGCCATTCCGCATGGAGTAGGGCAAAAAAAAAAAAAAAAAAACAACAACCATAATCACCTATAATCATGAAAGACAAATTATGTAAGAGAAAAGCAAGTTTAATCGCCATTCACCATGATTCGAAAAATTTACGTTGACCTTTCAAAAAGAAAAATTGCGATGACCTAAGATTATTTAGATTTTTAAATACATCTATTTTATAAATAAGCTAAATGAAAAACAAAGTCAAAATCTTAATAGAGAACTTTTAACGCTAATAAAAGATCGTGCACTTAAATCTTCCCTCTGAAGTATTTAAACTTAAAAAAACCTCATGCTAAACTAGTGCATAATTAGGACAAAATGAGTTTTAATTATTATTTATAAATTTTGAATTCAGACATAAACATATGAAGATCTAAAATTTAGATCGAACTCACTAATTTAGAATTCAAGTTAATTTTTTAATGATTTGGAAGAGAAACTATTTCTTATTCCCTCACATACATAAAATGAAGATTTACAAATTATATTTTTATACCAGCAAAAAAAATACACACACATATATAGGTTGTGGGTAAAATATTGAACTTATAACCCTATTTTTTAGGGGTAGAGTCCTGCTGCCATTGACAATTGTGCCTTTGCTTGAATCTAAAGCTTGTTCCATACTCCTAAATTATTATTTTGTTCTTCAAAAGTTATTTCTTGTTCCATAACCTATTATTAATTTGTTTTACTTTTAATTGTACCTTTACTTCACTCCTAAAATTCAAGGTTTTCCAGCTATTGCGTCTGTTTTTTTTTTTTTTTTTTTTGTTCAGAAAATAATACTCTTACCAATTTAGTTGAATGAATTAAAGATTACTATAGGTAAGCCCCAAGGAGAGTTCTTTCTTAGGAAACCTGAGCAGCCAATGGAGCTGAGACGTGTCTCTCTCTCTCTCTCTCTCTCTCACACACACACACACGTGCGGTCTGGTCTCCCTTCAAAGTTCAAACTTTCTTGCAAAACCACCCTCTCGCTCTCCTTCATTTCAAAAGAAAGGGGGAAAAAAAGGTTATAGGGGCAGTGAAGAAAGACGATAATGGCGGCGATGGTGATTTTTCGGGCTCTTGTTAAATTTCGTCTTCAACAGCAAATAGGTATCATCGGCTTCTTTTTCTCTACTTTCAGCAGCAGCAGGCATAACAAGGTATGGTTTAAAGACAAGGATGGTGCTTTAGCATCATTCAGGCTCATGCTTCTTAGGAAACCTCAGCCTTGTATTGTTGAATTTAGTAAACTGTTGTCATCAATTGTTAGAATGGGACATTACGAGACTGTGGTTTATTTGTCCAAAGAATTAGAATTTCTAGGAATCGAACAAGATATACATAGTTTAAGCATCTTGATTAATTGCTTCTGCCATTTACATCGTGTCGATTTTGGGTTGTCTGTTTTGAGCAAAATCCTTAAGCTTGGGTTGGAGCCTAGCATTGTAACCTTTACTACCTTATTGAACGGGCTTTGTAGAGAGGGAAGAATGGATCAAGTTATGATGTTGTATGATGATCTGCTGGTGAGAGGTTATCATCCCAATGTATATACTTACAATGTGATAATTAACAGTCTTTGTAAAACCGGGAAAACCAACGAGGCTCTTGGGTTTCTTAAGCAAATAGAAAAGGCAGGTTGCGTCCCAAATGTTGTTAATTACTGTTCACTGATGGATGGGTATTGCTTGCGAGGGCAAATGGACGAAGCTAGAAGCGTATTTGATTTAATGGCGAGTAAGGGCTGTACGCCTAATGTTTATACTTACACTACCTTGATGAATGGATACTGTAAGATCAAAAGGATTGAAGAGGTAATGCAACTTCATGATGAAATGTTGAAAAACGGTTTAGTTCCTGACATAGTTACTTTTACTACTATGATCAGTGGGCTGTGCCAAGCAGGGACACCTATGGCTGCACAACAGCTTTTCAGGTACATCTGTGCGCATGGCCACACTCCAAATATAATGACTTATGGAGTGTTGCTTGATGGCTTGTGCAAACAAGGGAATCTCGAAGAGGCATTGGTTCTATTTCAAGAGATGCAAAGGAGCACTGTGAAGCCTAACTTGGTAATCTACACCATCCTTATTGATAGTTTGTGCAAGTTTGGGAAGCTTAAAGATGGAAAGGAATTGTTTTCTAGACTCATTGATGAAGGGTTGAAGCCTAACGTTTATACATACACTGCATTAATTGGTGCACTTTGCAAGAAAGGACTGATAATTGAAGCATACAAGCTTTTTAGAAAAATGGAAGAGGATGGCTGTGCACCTGACAAATGCGCCTATAATGTCATTATCCAAGGATTTCTCCAACACAAGGATCCATCAATGGCAAGGCAACTTGTGGAAGAAATGGTCAATCACGGATTCTCTGCAGATTCTGCTACCAGAGCCTTGCTGAATGATGTGCCTGCTAACAACGAGATTCCTGCTCTAAAAAATTTACTAGGGCTTTGTGAAGATCATTGAGGTGTTAAATCTGGAGTAAGCTTTCAATATTTGATGCTTCTTTGATTGACATGGCAAATTAAAAGTAGATTTTATTACCGTTGCAGCTTTTATACATTTGATTTAACATTAAGGGCGTTTCCAGTGTCGACATTATCATCACGTTTGTGCTATATAGAGTTGCACGTACATAATCTTTCTTGTGTGTGTGCACGCGCATGCTTCTCTGCCTTTATCTTCCCACACCCTTTTCAAAATTTAAAAAGTAAAATTTCCAAGTTCTATGATGTCTGAAACATGATATATTGAGGGTTGAACGTGTGGTGTAATCTGTGGTGTGGTAGCTCTATGAGTATTCTGGTCCCTACTTCATTTGGTTGATCTCTATATGTGATATCATTTTGGCATTATTCCAAAATTATAAGTTGCTCGTTTCATTCTTAACTGGTTAAATGATTTAATTAGCAGTTTGGTAATTTGGAGGGGGAAAAGCAACAGCCTTTAATGGAAATCTGCTAGCCTTATTCGATTTCTGATTCATGGGTTGTAGTTGGAGTGTCAAAACAAGTGTCACATGTTAATGCCTGTTTAGGGTTGAGACTTAATCTCTAGCACTAGCTACCATCTGAATGCTTAGTTCCATCACTCTTCCGATTATACAGTTAGTATGGTGCCCTAATAGATATGTAGCACTGTTTTAGTTACTGTTAAAGAATGACCGAACTGAATTATAGTACTGATAGGCAGTGTTATTATGGTGCCCTAATAGATATATTACACTGAATTATACAGTTGCTCTTTTCAAAGAATGGATGAACTGAATTAATTAAACTGCAGAGCTACTGGTTGAAGTACACTCTGTGCTGTGGCAGAAAAAGCTTAAAATGCAATTACTAAAACAACCATCCAAATTCTAAACTAAGCTAAAAAGTGTAGAAACAACGGAAATAACTGCTGGACGTGGTTTGCCCGCTTGCATTCCTGCATCTATTCATCTAACATTCACTATATGATGGACCTTAATTTCATTACACACTACTGATCACGTTCAAAATTGTTTTTCTTTTTGGTGTATGGAAATGGTGTATGGTTTTGTGATCAATGTTTGCATTAGTTTTCTTCCATCTATTTCCATTTGCTAATCCATTTTCCACATGCCAGACTTGTTTTTCTTTTGATATTCTTGCAGGAGTGTTTATGGATACATCAATGTCTTCCATTTTAAAAGAGGAAAAGAACAAAAAAATCATTGCCCTCTGGAACTGCTCTTCTCATTTAGCTCATCTTGTTATCTCATAATCTCCTTCAGTAAGTATCAGATTCCCTTTATTCTTGGGTAGGTTGTCTCAATTATAGTTTCTGTTGCTGAAGAAATTCCGACATAGTCTCTATGCAGAATTGTCGGCAGGAGTTATCATCGATCTCAACCAACGGGATAAACTGATTAAAAATGGTGTGTAAACAAAGTAGCAAGTGGCTGTCCACGTGACTAAACCCTGCATACAAAGAATATTGTGTATAGTTTCTTGAGCAATTGTAGGTTTTAGCCATTTTTGGTGCTGTTTGGTGTCATAATGAATTACCTGGCCAAAGATCTCAAAGTTTGCTTGTGGGTAATACCAAAGGTGGAACAACCTGAAAATTGGAAGCAGTGAGATCGGTCAGCAATTATCCATGCCTTTCAATTGTCGTAATTAATGTTTTGTTGACAGACAGGGCGGCCTTACTTCATAATGGGAATTTCAGCTAGCGGACAGCAGAGGCCTATGATGGAAGCCAGGGTGAATCCAATCCATGTTCTGTCTAGGGAAAACCATATCAATTCTGCTAATGCAAATAATATGTAAGCCTCGATGTTGTCTGGTATTCCAGCTCTATACATTTCAGCACTCAATTCGATGAATAGCAATAGTGCTCTGTGTTAAACAAGAAGTTGGGATTTGTAAGACAAGATATGCTAGAAATAATCAACTCCGATGGGTTTGGATATTGATTGTTGATTTGTGGGTAGGGATGGCTATGCATGAGCATCCAATCCATTAATTCAATTTTTTACTCTATTCATTAAAAACATATCTTCCTCGTTATCCATTAAGAAATCATCATATAAATTTTTATCCATTAAGAAATCATCATATAAATTTTTATCTGCCTCATATTTCGTCTATATTAGTTTATCCTTCCATTTAATATTTATTAAATATCTGTTAAATTTAACTTGTCAAAAATATTTATTTTAGTCTTTATAATTTTTTTAAAAAGTTTTTTCCTCAAAGTTTATTTATTTATTTATTTTACATTTTGGTCATTTATTTATAAAAATTTTTTGGTCCTCAAACTTTTTTAAAAAATATTTTGATTCTTAATTTTTAAATTTTATGCAATTAAATCAATATATGTTAATAAAAAAATATAAATAAATTAGTGGATATTAACAGGACAAAGATGAAGTATCCATATCCTAAAATTATATTAGTAGGTATATATTTTTTTACTCTTATCTATTTTAATACCTAATGTATATTCTTAATAGGTATTTATTAGATTAGACAAAATGAATATTCGTTTTATATATGGTTTATTGCCATCCCTGTTTGCAGGTTCAGATTTCTTCTTTCTTTATTCCTTTTTTTCCCCTTCTTATTGTGTTATAAACACGGACACGAAATTAACTGGTATGTACTTACACTAATGCAATAGCTGTTTTCTCTAGGCTTCCTTCTGGAACCTTTGAAGGTGCCCTTTGATCCAAGAACAGTTGCAGCAACCCAACAGTGCAGTAAAATAGTCCAAGCAAGGGAGGAACCTACAGCATCAAGAATGCAGAAAGAAGTAAAATTGAACTAATCTGGGGTTGTACTATTCATAGACCAAGAAACAACACAAGTACTAGACAGTACCCAAATGTTTGTGTGAAGAAGACCGATGTCGATTGACCCATTTTGGTAGACCACAAGATTCACCCTTGAGTGAAGTCCATCGATGAGGGGACCTAAGAAGAACCCTGAACCGAAAAGTGAGAGGGAAATGGATGGCAAAGTGCTTCTTAGATTACTTGTGTTCTGCTTTCGTAAACTGCAGTGAGGTTTAGATACAAGATGTTTTGTATTGGAATAACGAGGGTGACTGTGAAGAAAGCATGGAGAGCTCCTCAAAGCAATGAGGCCTTGCATGTTTCTGCGGGACTTCCCGTTTGCCAGTAAAGAAAAATATCAAATGATTTGTAAATTCCGTTCACTCTGAGCCACAAACTGGTGGTATTGAAAAATTAGAGGCTGTGGTTCTGTCCAACGGAAAAGAAATTACGAGGGTATTGATGTCAAGTAATAGATGTTTTCTTTAGTTACTTTTTCAGGCAATCTTAGTTACAAAAATAATTGAATATCCTTGCGATCAGATAATTATTACATTTATAATGTCAATAATTCAAATGATACAGTATATATAAAAATCTTATTTTTAATGATTAATATAAATCAAATCAATTTGTTGAGCTAGATCGTTTTATTTATGTGTATTTGTTAATAAATTAATTAATAATATTAATATAAAAAACTATATCTGGATAATTGAAAAGTTTTTTCAAAATATATTTTATTTAAAAAATATTGAAAAAAAAAAGGAAGAGAAACAACAAACAAACTAAAAGATATGACTTCAAGGGCAAAGAGATAAATTAATAAACAAAAAGGGAGTGGGAATTCAACGAAGAAGGCTTATGGATGAAGGGAAGAAAAGATCAAAATCAGACAAAAAGGAGACTGGAGAGAAATGCTAAAGGCAAAGAGGTAAATCTAAAAAAAAAGGAGTGGGAATTTAATGAGGAAGGCTGATGGATGAAGGAAAAAGAAGATCAAATTCAGACAAAAAGGAGACTGAAGAGAAATAAAAGATATGTCTTCAAGGGCAAAGAGGTAAATCAGTAAAAAAAAAAAGGAAATGGCAAAAGAGAAATTAAGAACTCATAAGGGCAGAAATCAAACAACGCACGGGAGTTACCATAAATAGGATTTTATCTCTAAAGCTACAGTACGTGAATAGGATTGATCCCAATTTTTTTAGTTTTTTTGTGTAATTTCAAGTAAAGTTTAAAAAATTAATGATAAAATAACCAGTAACGAATTCTAAAATTTCGTTTGAACTTCAATAAATTAGGGAAATTATGGTGTTGTAAAAGAATGCTCATATAATCAAGAGAATTTTTTGTTATATTTTCAAGAAATGCATCATCCATTGCTTTAACATTTTCATCCAATTCATATTCTTGGTTGTGCACTGCTCTCTTCTCTTGCTTATTTGTAGGCTCAATGGAAGGAAAAAAGAAGAAGAAGGTCAAGGTTGTCGCCAGAACACGCAGAAATTGTGTTTTTTTTTTTCCCCTTTCGCTAAGGGGGTCACCAACTGAATTGTACTCCTATATGAAATTTAGCAGATAGGGTATCTTATTTTGTTGAACATGGCCACAGCAATGCCCCCATTTTCCTGTAGGTAAAGGTGAGATATTCTTCGCTAGCACAGGTCCTATTGTAGCAGCTTGCAGCTATGTGAACTGTCCCTACTAAGAATCAATCTACTCGACCTGGCTTTGACAATATGAAATTGTGGATGCTTTAAAAGAGATTAGCTATGCTGCCTCCCCTCCCAACGCAACTGCTCCATCTAACAAAGAAGCGCAAAATCTCTCTTTATTGGCTCTGACGATGTTTCTTCTTGTTTTGTCCTTGTCTACCCACCACCCAGGCCTTGCTTGCCTTGTCCTCTTCCTTGGAAACCTTGGGCAAAGATTCACATCTTTACATATTTGGGACCTGCATAACTGGCCAACTATTGCGACAAGAGTTTGAAGGACTGAAGGAACATGTCTAGCAATACCTTAAATAATTGCTGCACTGACATTTTGAAATACACATGAGTAGCTTTGCTGCAACGCCATGAGGATGGTGGTGACAAATATCTCTGCATTCAGGTATGCCTAGGCAAGTGATGAATGACCAGCTCAAGTCCGTTAAATCGGCAAGTGATGAATGACCAGCCCAAGTATGTTTAGATTTAACATAAAGGAGCTAATTGATTTTATGCTACTTGGAGTTTGAACATGAGGATGTCGCGAGTTTAACAAAGTGGACTTTATTCCAGTGACAGAATTGGCCGAGCAAACAAAACAACACTTAGGTTTTCAAACTTCAAGCATCCTCCTTAGACTGCAACATTTTTCAGTGAAGACCATAATCTATATTCCTATACAGGATGGCATTTACATTACGTCACATGAGATTTTGGTGCATAAAAGAAAGACCTTAGCCATCCAAACAAAACCATTTGTACAAAACCAGAGTTTAGATTTCCTCTGTAGTCACTAGGAAGGACATCAGCAGATTATAACTGTTGTCGTCATTCAAAAGGGTCCGACATTGATAACCAGAGGCGCCTTGCTTGATGCTTTTAGCTTGATGGCAATGGCCCTGTACCAAAGCTATTAATTTAAAGGTTGAGTTGGTGAGAGAAGGAGAGGAAGGCAAAGACTTTTCTAACCTGCAACTGAATCCCATCTGGGAATCTGATCACATTATTATACATAACTTAAAGTTCCTAAAAATGGGAGGCTCGCAGATTGGACTTCTGTGTGTGATTGCACCTTCCAGCTTGGATTCTGGTAGGTTAGATAGCACAACTTAAAATGGGGGCTCACAACTCATGATTCCCACATCCTTTTGGAGTCTTAAATTGGATTCTGCACTTGTAAACTTTTTTTCAGGCCAGGACTGTGGGTTTGGTGAACCTGACCAGCATATATGAAGTTACAATTAGATAAATGATTCACAATAAAATTAAACCGGCAATGATGATTCATAAAAAAAAAAAAAAAAACCAAGCAATGATCATTCATTCAAAATTAATTTGTTTCCTCACCTCTAAAATCACAGATCAGAAGCCTTCAATTTTCTGGGCCTTTTATGAGCAGGTGAAGATGGATTCTCAGATACCCTTCCGGGTCCCTTGTGAGTCAAACATGAGGGGTTATATATCAGAAGCCAGAAAAGATTAGTGTGTGTAAAATAGAACAAGATTGACAAAATAGATGAAGCCAGTATGTACCTTGCGTTTCTGGTCCCTTCTGCCAACTCTTTCTCCTGATATTCCAATCAAATATGTGACTTCAGAAAGAGGATAAGAGATAAAGCTGACAGATCTCATACAGAAAAAGTACAAGGCAAAAGCAAATGCCTGCATCGAACAAGTAAATTACCTCCAAAACTCATTGAGTCCGGAACAAATGTTCGATCCTGATCGCGCTGTGAACGCTGTTAACAGTTTTGAAAACAGCAAGTTAACAATTGGAAAAATAAATGAAGCGTGCATTTCATAATTGCAAGCCTATCTGTATATCAAGAGACCAAGACTTCACAAACCTTAGGTGTGCCCGGCATATCGGTGAATGAACCATCACGAAAAGATGAACCTTCTGCCTCCTTATATTGTAGCTGGTGATCAAACACAAATCTAACACGTTAGAGAAGAAAACAAAGCATCTCCAATTATTATAGCATTGATATGAAAACATCTTCAATACCAAATACAATTCATCATTTTGACGTCTTTTCTGTTCTATCTTTTTCTAGGGCTTAGATTTCAGTTTTAAGACCTTAATCCATCTTGTTACAAACAAATGATATATCTGAAGCTTAACTTTCCTGAGTAGTTCTACAATCCTAATGGCTAACGATTTCATATTTGCAAACACTTGTCAATAAGCAACTTGTAACTTCAATATAAAAAGAAAAAAGAGAAACAGATTGGTCCTCTTACTTCAGAACATAAGTTGGTACAACCATCAATCTAGCAAGAAACCTACTTATTTGAACATCAAAAATCAGCGACTAAATCAAGCATGCCAACTGAGTCAGAACAAGCCATTAGAATGGAGTTATGCAAACAAAAAGGAAGACACCTTATTTCCTAAGAGAATGCTCAGTATGTCCACTGCTGCAAAGAAGTGAAATTGTGTCTGGAAATGACACTATATCAACTTAATTGCTAACCTATTTACTAAGCAAAGCTCTACTAAACATCAGTTATCAAATTGCTAGAACCTGCAATCTAATAAGATGATGGAGTTGAATGAGATGACAACTTGGAGGCCAACTATTCATCCAAGTAATTAGAGGCGAGGATTAATTGAGGATTAAAAAGAAACGAAAAAAGGTAGGAGATAGAGGGGGAGGGGGTGTGGAAAATACAGAAAGGAAGGATATGCATGCATCATGCATGAACGTATCTATAGAGGGGAAATTTTCTCCTTGAATGATCATTTATGATAAAGATTGTAAGTTAACAAAATGTCATACTAAGATTTCAACAAGTAGCACCTGTTTCTGAAGATTCAGCAACGTTAATATTTCCTGTCTTAATTCAAGGTGCTGAGCACAAACAGCTTTGGTGGGCACCTTTGGCTTTAAACTAACCTGTAAAAGAAAAATTCATGATGTTAATACCTGACATTTCAGAAGGTAATTAAATGGAAGAATTGAGAATGGTTGCTTCATTTATACCTCACGCCAAGTATATGAATTTGAAACTTCCAATCTCTAAACTTTTGTTAGAAATTAGCACAAGCAATTGAAGAAATGGTAACTATGACTAGAATGCATAACAATACATACAAGTTTAATCAAAACCAAATAACATCTCTATTCAAGAAAAATTCTAAATCTGTTTCTCGTACAGAATTCATAATCAAGAAAAAAAAATCAAGAATATTAGTGGAATGCTTTGCCAAATCCAAAAGCCAACTAATCTGGTACGAGATAGTTTGATCATGCTAATATAAAATAGAAATCTCTATGCAAAAATTGTAATCACAATCAGTCCACCTGAACAGCCCCCACAACCACACCCCTTCCAAAAGGGGAAAAAACCCTACAAATGGTATGGGATAACAAAATGAAGGAGCTAAAAAGTCCTATGCATCTTTGTGCAACGTATTTTCCGATGACAGAAATAGACATAGATCATCCAACATGTGTGATATAATGATAGAAAATGACATGAGTAAAGAAAAGCATAGACAGACCCCAAGATCTTGTAATGTTTGTTCAACCCGCTTGATTGTCCGAAGTCCTGCAGACGAACTTGCAGCTTGCACCATTTGCTCAAGCGCATATGTTCTCAAGTAAACACGAAGCTGAAATTTCAAAAAGATCAGACTCTGAGTTTGTCCATACTGGAATATTCAAAAATAAATTGTAAATCATATAATTTCCTCTGAACAGCAGGCAAAATCTAGCTCAATTTTTTTTTTTTTCAAAATTTAGGAGCAAACAACATAATTTATACAAAAAACTTGAACATATATCCAGCTAGGCTTTATGGAAGAGAGGCAAGCAAGTGGAAACTACTTAATCAACATACCATACGCAGGGAAGCTAGAGTAGAGGCACTATCTGCCATTGCTGAAGTCGAAGGTGCAACTGATGCAGAGGCAAGCTGAGCATTGGATGAAGGTGATACTGTATCATCAAGATTAACTGCTATCTCAGCAATATCTGGGTCAACATTTGATGCAACAGGCAATGCAGATTCTTCAGCACCCTAAAAAGCAGAACCTTGAAAGTAAAATTACAATATAACTTTCAGAAGACAGTGCATGCAGAAAAGACTGTTCTCAGACTCTTTCACAAATTCAAATAAAAAAGAAATCCCAAAGCCCACCGTTATTGCCAGGTTACAAGTAACAGTTACAAATTCCAGCCTACAAAAGGACTTTGATTCTAAGAATTTCAGTTTCAATTTTATTGTACTTCAAGCCCCCTCCTCTTTTACACAGTAACACACCTGTCTAGCAATCAATGATGGGATTTGAAGTTTAAAATCAAATGCCCATCAACAATTGCTCAAAAAGAAACATGTCAGTATTTCTAATTCAAACCTTACCCGTGCAGCCATGCGTGATTCGGCTATTCTTTTCGCTTCTGCCAGAACCTGAGAAAATAAAGAACATAAAGAAGCAATCAGCATATGGCATATGTGTATCTAAGAAAAGCAAATCATTCTTAGATAAGTGCCAAAGTAAGCAATTGACCTCAGTGTCTTTTCGCTCTTGATGCTTTGTTTGCGAGAGAACCATGGACAATGCACGCTTGCGCTCTATCTCTTGTGAAGCGTTGTATGGTTCCTGTGTGGAAAAAAAAAAAAAAGGAAAGATCAAAAGCTACAAATAGAAGATAACTTGTTGTAGCATGCCTTAAATTCAATCTAGCTATTGCAACAGCCAACGAGGAAATCAAAAATCTAGAAACTGAAACTTTTTTCTCAATAGCTAAATTTTGTAAAAATAGCATTATAACATAGCACCGATAAAGTTACCACACCTTAAGCAGAGGATGCCCTGAAACATCCCCAGGCGATGGAGCTCTGGCAATCAACATAGCTCGAGAAACTACGAAAAAAAAAATCAGTGAATGCTTTAAGGATGAAAGAAAAGTATTGGAGGATCAATTTCAATAATGTCCTTTGGATGTTAATTAAAAAGTAGACTAACTTTCAAGCTACGAAAAGCATAGCTCGAGAAACTAAGGAAAAAAAAGCAGTGAATGCTTTAAGGATGAAAAAAAGTATTGGAGGATCAATTTCAATAATGTCCTTTGGATGTTAATTAAAAAGTAGACTAACTTTCAAGCTATGAAAAGCATAGCATGAAACTAATTTAAAGAGAAATCAATAGAAAATACTTGAACAATTTGGTAGAGAAATACCATTGTAATAACGATCTTTCAATTCCTCAACACTCCGAGATGACGTGAATCGGTCTGCTACCACAACAAAGCGGAGATCAAATCGTTCACACAAGTCAAACAATTGATCTGTCTCTTCCTTGGTCCACGTCTAATGAAGACAACATGTAAGAAAACGAATTCGTGCAATAATTTTTTTTTTTTTTAAGGAAAAAATGCAACCATGAGTTGATACCTACAGGATCAGTCAAATACTTTTCATACTCCTCATCTGTATATTTCACAACATCAACAGACTGCAACATACAGAAAACACTAGAACATTCAATTTTGCAAAAAATATAAAATAATAACAATAATAATTACTAAAAAAGAAAAACTTGTGCACACCTTGTTGTACTTGGCAAAGGAATAATCACCTGTTGGTGGAACACCATTCACAACTCTAACCTGCAATAATAAATAATTCATACAAGTCAGTCACGAAACTTTCCGACTAACAAACTGGAAATATATATATATATATATATCAAAACTCACCCAATGGTAAAGCTGCAGATTATCATTTCGAGCAGAGCTGGTAAAAGGAAGCCACTGCCAAGTGATCTGAAATTCATAGTTTCGAATTCGTAAGAAATTACATTCTGGTAATTCATCTTTTTTCCAGGAAAAAACAAAATATTTTCATCTTGACAGTAAAGAGAAGACCTTCTCGTCAGATGGAGGGCGTCGTTTCAGTTGCGACACATCAATAGATGGCATAAGAGGCGCCAATCCACCTGTAAGTGCATAAACCTACAGATTCAACAAGAAATTACATTTAGATGAAAAACAAATCTTTTTTTTTTTTTACCGTAAAAATAATAAAAGGAAGTAAACACACAAACATACCTCACGCGAAATGCCATCAGGTTTTCTCTGCGAGTCTTTTTTAGGCTGAAATTTCTTCTCTTGTGTTAGTGGCAATGGAGTTTTTGGCAATCCTAAGATGTCCTTGGCATCCATTTTCCTTTTTAGGGTTTCCGTTCAGATTCTTCAATGATTTCAATTCATGTTAAAATTGAGGATCTCAATTGAGCTCTCCATGATTTCGATTTCGCAGGGCTTCGATTTGGGAATTTAGGGTTTTGTTTGATCGAAAAGGGATTTTGGGGTGAAACTAAAATTAGGGTTCCTTTTCGAGCGCGAAAAATTTGAGAGCGAGAAACAACGAAATCAACAAGGCTTTGTTTTGACTCACAATCCTGTTCTCGCGAGGAACAGGCTCCTTAAAAAAGTTACTAGGTACTTAACTACTACCTACCTAGTGTGTAAGTGCGGTGGTGGCTTTTGCCTTGCGATGTTAAAAAAAAAAAAACAAAAAATAGCACTTAAGAAAACAAAATTGAATTGAAAAAAAAATGTTTGGTTATATATGTAATTAAATAAAAAAATATATTTTAAAAATGATCATAAAAACATGTGTTGGGAAAAAACCTGTTTATTTATATATAATAATCAATACAGCAAGGCAACAAAATTATTTTAAGACCATAAATATTTACAAAAAGGGGTTGGCGGATTGGTAATTGCATGCAGAATGTCTAAAGTCAGAATAATAGATGTCATACTCTCTTATAAATGGGAATGGTAATGGGCCTTTACCTGATTCACTAGTTCAATTTTTAGTCCACCTATTAAAAAATACATTGTCTATGCTCATTAATAAATTATTCAATAAATTCATACCCACTAAAACTAATTTGACAAAATATTTTAATTTAGTTGTAATTTTCCATAAAAATAGTTTGGGCTTTGATATTATTATTTTTCTTTTTTACAATTTGATACTTAATTAATAAGTTTTTCATCTTCAAAGTTTTTTATTAAAAAAAATTGGTTTCTATTTTTATAAAGTTTGTACAATCAGGTTTAACAATTTTTTAAAAAAAAAATTCAACGAGTATTAATATGATATAAAGTGTATATCCATATTTGAAAAACATATTACCATTACTTTTTTTTATTATTATTATTGTCCATCTTATTACTATTGAATATTTTTAATAAAAATTTATTATAAAATAAATTAGATACTTCTTTTATATCCAATTTATTGTAGTTTCTATTTGAAACCTGCTTTTTAGGTTCAAAATATAATGGGCATCTATAGTCTGTTTTTGAAAATCAAATCTATAGTCGTTTTTGAAAATCAAATGATTTTCTTGGTCGTAGTTAGGGTAACACTGTAAAAGCAATCCCAATTGCAAAGACGAATGAATCCTTAGTGCCTATTTGGGAACCGGTAGTTTCAACTATTTTCTTTTAGTTTTTAGGGCTTTATCTTTAAAAACCATCCAAAAAAGTATTTTGCAAAATCATAAAAGTTGTTTTAAAAGATATTTAAAAACCAAAAGTCAAGAGCAACAAAATAAGATTTTTGAGTTTTTAAATCTTATTTAACATAAAAGCATTTTAACAACACGTATTACCAAATGCTTTTTTATAATTATAACAGTCACAATTACAGGTATAATCACAATAAAAACCGCAGTTTTTTCGAACCAACGCTTGGTCTTCCTCCACCACTAAAAATAAGTATTCGTGGGGTCTCATTTTCACGTAAGTAGCTGAGTAAAATGACAAACAATATCTAATATTTATCATGGTCTCATGTTAGTTGATGGAGGTGTAAAATTAATATTTTTATTTTCTTGATTTGATGGTTTGAAGTATACTCAGGTACGTATCAATCGATGCTAAATTTTTTCTTCAATGATTGTAAGGAGGTATTCCCCAGACAAAAGATTTCCTCTCTTGAAAATCTTTTAACCCTCCCTATTTAATTAAATTTGAGTAAATTATAAACTAGTCCTTCTAGTTTTGAGAAACTAATTAATTAGTTTTTTTGTTTTAAAAACTAATTATTTAGTCTCTTAATGAATGTTGGTCAAGCTAAATTTAATATTACTCTATATCTAAAAATATTTTTTTTCTCATCAATATTTATATAATATCTTTTTATTTTTTAATTAAAAAATATATAATTAAAAAATAATTAAATAATTAATTTTTGAAATAGAGAAAAATAATTAATTCATTACCCCTTGTTAATTCTCCTCCCCCTGTTAGCATTATACAACCTTCAGTCATTACCTCTTTGTAAGATTCAGGACTTTACACATACTAAACAACTCCCACCATATGGATTAATAGGCTTAGATTCGTTACAGTTGGGCCCAAAATGGCTGCCCATAATCTGGCCCAACCTTCCCTTCATAAATCCTGCCCAGCGAACATCACTTCGCAAATCACATCGACGACAAAGTCTGCCTTCAACAATTATAGCGCGGACAAAAATGAGGTTCTAAAAAAGCAAAATTAGCAAATAGCTGGTAGAAGTTATCTTCAAGGTATGGATATGGCACCCTTAAGGTTCCTTTTCTTTTGTTTTTTTTAACAGTTTCTTTTTGTTCAACGTTTGTGAAAGTTTAGTACTGGATATTTTGAACACACTTGCATGACAGACTAATTGCTAATTTAGTTTCTTTAATCTCAGCTTACTTGAACAAAAAATAGGATCATATATGAACACTTGAAAGTTCCTACTATTTCCTATTTTCTGGTCCTTCGATTCTATTAATTTATACGTTATTCACAAATTGTTTTATTTACACTAAATATTAAAAAAAAAATGATGCTCTCAATCTTCTTTGCAGCATGCTGTAGATTAATTCTTTGAAGATGCATAGCAAAGTGAAAAGGCTCATCACCAAAAACACCATTAATGTTGACACTTTGATACAAAGCCAGTTGAGGCCTGAAGAAATTTTTGTGAACGAAATTTTGGCAACTTCAGGTTACCATAACACTAACCCTTTTGATACAGAAAAGTGTTGGCCTTAATTTGGTGCTATCCTACCTGAGCTTTATCACCTTCTTTAATTTATTTATGTGTCCACCATGATTCGCTCTTGACCTTGTAAGACCTTTTCTTAACCTTGTAAGACGCAGTGGTTAATTTGCTACCCTTATTATTACTATCACGAAGGTCTTCCTATTTGGAGCCTAAAGATAGAAAGTCCAGCTATTAGCATCCCTGTTACCACCCAACTCATCACCTTCTTCTCTGTCTATTCCTCCTGAGCTGTTTGGATCACACCAGCAAGATCTTATGTCTGGCATCTGTGAAAAATTTTAGGGTTTGAACAAATGATGTTGTTTGTTGTTACTTTTTTTTTTTTTTGGTTGAGAATCAATATCATTGTTATTAATTGCTCCCATTTTCGGTTGTTTCATGTATGTATGTTGATAAAAAGATGCATAAGGGTGCTACAAATCATTAGAAGGTTTATTAATATTTGTTTAGTTCGGAAAGAAAGCAATTATTGGAAATATCTGTCACATATTTTTGGTGTAAGGGTTTGCAGAAAATCATACTCAGGCCGGCAGCAAAACGTATCGTTTGGCATTCTGATGCCTCAAGGAGATGGACTATTTCTCCCTGTGTTTTGAATGGAACAAGCCTCTGATAATTAATTCTCTAGATATTTTAAGGGACCTCGTGTCTCGTGATTGCTGCAGGAATCTGCAATCATGCAGTGTTTCTCCTCAGCATTATTGAATTGTTCTTTACCGATCCAGAGGGAGAGATATATGATCTTTACTGATAAGAAACTTCAAATGCTGTCAACTTTTCCTCCATATAATTGTCTATCGCAGCACTCGACGTCTTTTCGCTTTGTGTTTGTATTATATGCGGAGAGAGAGGACCAATACAAACGAAGCTCTCGGAATATTTCTTAGCCACTGATTCTTAGAAAAAGAGACACAACAAAAGAAAGTAAAAGGTGTTCAAATTTCAATTTACATTAATCGACTGCGATATTGGCGAGTATCTTATGCCGACAAACAGGACGAAGCTAGGATTTCTAGATAAGTGGGGCATAGAATTACTACAATAAGAAATAATGTATTTAAAATAAATTATTTGATCAAAAATTGATTTGAAAACAATCACAAAATAGTCTATGTAAACATAATTCTTATACAACTGTTCCAAAGAAACTAGTATAGTAGGATGTCATAGACTGACGGACAAGTACGAAAAAATAGGTAGGCAAATGTCTAGAAAGATCAAAGGCAAATTTAAACCCTTAAAACTTATAATGGATATTTATGATTTTTTTTTTTAAAAAAAAAAAAACAAAAAGGTAAGGACGGCAGTTGCCTCCTTCTCACTTATGTACATCCCCTTGCTGACAAATCACCAAACTCTTAGGCTTAGTTTGAAAAATCATTCGGCTTTAATGGTGAATTGTGGTTCCAATGGCTATAACTTTGAATACAAACTCAAAAACCATTTTAGAAGTTTGATAAATTAAAAAAAATAAATAATAATTTTAGAAGCTCAAAAGTATCAAAATAATGCTTATGTCTATGACGGTTGAAGTATCTTTTAAATGACGTTTAAAATTGCTTTCATGTGCTACCAAATATTTTTGGTTTTGCAGCGAGATGAAAAAGCATCTCCAACTACATTACAAATAAGCACTTAATATTGAGCATTTATGGCCTCACTATAAGTTTAAACTCCAATTTTTTTTATTTCCTTGACATTGAATGTTAAGTATTTAAACTCCTCCTTCGGCAATGAACTCTGTAACACTAAAAAAAAAAAAAATCTGTGATTTGGCAACAAAAATCAAAGAGGAATAACAAATTGTCATTATATAATGATAAATTTACGAACGAGTAATAATTGTCATCGATTTGAGGGTAATTGCAATGAAAAATTAATGACGTAAAACTTTTGTCATTAAATAACACGAAAATTTTTTAAAGTAACAAAATCAAAAGTCTGCCATTAAAAAATGGCAACACATCTTTTAGCGAGGGTTTTATTTGGACGCAATTTCATCTCTAAAACTACTATTTTTGTAGCGCTAAACATTATTTATTCGGTAAATTATATTGATGCTGGTGCTGGTACCAGTATATATAGTACATCAATTATTGACGTGTTTATAAATCTTTTCTTATCTACTTATACGATTGACTGCGCCCTACAGAAAAATGGATTTAACGGATATAGCTGTGAAATGGATTTCACAGGTATAAATGCAGCATACATCAGTGGCTTTTATTTCTTCAGAAAAATGAAACAATGCCCATTAATCTGACGGCTATATATACGAAAATAATTCTTGTCCTTACTAAGAATCAACAAGCAAAAGAACTTTAGGAAAATTACAATAACACAAACAACTTCAGCTCATAACTCCAAATTTTACTCGTCACAAATGACTTAAATAAGTTGCATTCATCATTTACCTGGGTTTTTAGCATGGATGCCAATTGCAACAACGTAAGCGAAAACAATAATTCAACCTACCAAGAACTGCATGAGCTAGTACTATACCTGCTGCATTGAACTCTCCTGCTGTTAGGAAGATATGCTTCGGTCTAGTCAGTTTAATAGGTCGATTAAGGCCTTTGTTCCCTAGTTCCCCGTTCTTCTTTTCTTCTGATTAGTAATAGCAGGTCCCTTGTTTAGCCATTGTAAAGTATTATGAGCCCAGCCCAATATGAGTGAAGCCCACGTAATTATTGAACTAGAAAAGGTTTAGTTTAATTGGGCCCAGAGGATAAGAGTTGTTTTCCTTTTTCCATTAGAGGCCTGGGCCTCGAGCAGTACAAATGAATTCTCTCTCTTAAAATTACAGGTTACGAACTTTACAATCTCTGAATTTCACCCCTTGGAAATTTGAGCTTAGAATCTCTAAATAGAACTTCACCTTAATTTTTTTATCAAACTTATTATAAATAATTTTTTTTTTTAGAAAATTATAATGTCTACCTTTGCAATATATGAAAATTCAATGTTAAATGGCAATGTAGGTTTTTGTTGCTCAACAACTTGTGTCATGTTAAACTTTATGGAATACGTAAAAGATTAATTATTGAGTCTTTTATGTTTGAGACAAAATTACATCTCTCAATACAAAATTAAAAATATATATATTTAATATATCAAAAAGTGTACTTTTTTCTTTCTCAAAAATATGAGATTTATGAATTATTTTTATAGTGAGTGAGTCTTTTGTTTTTTGGAAAAAACGATATACAACTTTTGTCACGTGACATATAAATACAATTTTGTATTTAATTAACTTATAGGGAATCTACGTGGCATATAAATCAACCACAAAAAATGTGACGTGTTACGCGTTTATAATTCATCAAGTAAATTTCAAATTTTATCAGTTTTTTGGACTACAAAGATAAACTGTATAAAGTTTTAAAAACTAAGGATCCAACCGCGCATCTTCTTCTCTCTCTATTCTCCCCACTTTAAACCACTGGACTCAACCTGACAAAAGTGTTGAATCACAGGGTTATATTACGCAACCATCAAGTCTATAGTTCAATTAAATCACAATCCTGCTGGGATAGGCCTTCTTAATTATCGTATTATCTGAATGGTGATAACTTGAGTAAATTAATTACGATAATAATACATTGAAAACAATGTTTTTCCAACTTCTCGGGCAAGGCTAGTTTTGTTAAATCAATTATTGAATGCGATATTAACATTTTTATTTAAAAAATAATGGGTAGGTTACAAGTGCAAAGAAGCTGATCGCAAGAGCTTTTGTTAGAAATAATAATAATAATAATAATAATTAGGAGGCTGGAGATTATCACATTCTATTAGTAATAGCCAAAAAAAAAAAAAAGAATTATAAAATATTTCAAATGATGATTAAATCATTCCTTATTCTTTGGCTGACGTACTTCTCAGCATTACGATAATGATCAAAACAAAGACATAAGAATGGGTGGAACAGCATTCCTCTCCAATACAAAATCCACTATATAAGAAGACACTTAAAATTGGAAATGAGAATTTTATTACGTGTTCATGATGTCTGCTGCATTACCCCCTTCTTCACTGTCCACTTCCCATTTGGTATAATCTAGCTAGGGTTTTGTTATTTGTATCATTTCATCGGATGTTGACCCTTCTCACTAAACCTTGACAGCTTTTGGTACTTGATTGCAAGTCTACTGACCCTTTATGTTTTCCAGCAAAAATAACATGAAAAGGTACTAGCTAGCTAGCTAGCAGCTGGAATAATCTTGGCATCGCCTGGATTAACTTATCGTGAGCCCTAATTGAAGGACACGTTTGACCACTTACTGTACTTTTTAGCAGTCAACAAGAAATCTTTCATAATCATTGCCAACTAGAGCTGTTAGACATTCAACCATAAGGCACCCAACAGCAACAGTACAAACTGGGACTATTGGTAGAGAAATAAAGAAATTCAAAGAGATACAAACAAGTGTTTGTAGTTTAATTTAAAAGTTCATTATTAGTTTATGTTAATAGAACACTTACATATATACCTCCACAACTTGAAGGTTTGCATGTCCTTCCTTGATTTAGTAGTAGAAGAGTTCGATGGTATTACCGTATTAATTTGTTTTTGATGCAGTACGTTGTTTCTGTCGCTTGCACACTGCATGCGAAGAGCGACAGAGATACACTTGCATATGTGCAGTACGTTTTTTTTTATTTGTGGCATAATAAAACATATCTCAAAAATAATTCAGTACTGATCGCTGATGTTTTTTGTTTTTGTTCTTTGTCGGGAGAGGTATATATATGGCTTCTTCTAAAGGTCCTGTCTGCACTGCACTACGACTTGAATATTCTAATTTTTTAATTAAAAATTCTTTTCTGTGCCCTTCAAATTTTTTAGTTAGAATAAAAGAGTGATGCTACAATTGGTTGCTTTTTTTTTACAAAAAAATAAAAAAATATATATAGCAGATATGTTATTAAGCTTGTCAGGTGGAAGATCGCTTACATGCTAATTACCTTTTTCCCGAAATGATAATTAATGTCAATCAAGTCCAACTGATTGCTCACGGCATATAATTGCTTCTCCATAGATTTAACATCAGCATCGTCAAAAGCAAAAACAAGTTTGTAAGATAAATTAAATATATATGTTCAAATATATAATCATAGAGAGCACATTCAAAAACAAAATTCATAACCAATACCATGAAATTTTAAAAACTGAAATCAAATTTCTAAAATTGATGAAATATAAAAGATATTTTTCAAAATTAATCCAAGTTTAAAAATCTCTATAGCTTTGATTTCGGAGAGCATTCAATTTCATGAATAGATGCTTCTTTCATTTCTTACCATATAAATTGTAAAACTAAAATTATATAAAGTCAAAGTATAAATTGTAAGACCAAAATCAATCCATCTTTTTCAATACTATGGTATACTCGGCCATTAGTTTTTTCTTCCAGCCAATTGTCTATCGATATCAGCATCTTCACCATTGTTGTCCATACCAGTATCGTTGTCATTTCTAACCAAGTGGCTACCTGCAGTCGTAACTGGTATATCAGAAACGGATCTTTCCATAGTTTTTAATTTCCTGAAAAAAAAATATTTTTTTCTTGATTATTACATAATCAAATTAATTAAGTACCATAGAGAGTTAATTTTTATTCTGAAACATGTTTAAAAAAGTTAAAACATTCAAGTCTAAGAAGATTGAATAAAATCGTAATCTTTTCACTCATCAACATATATTGCTCCAATTGCAGATTAAATTATAAATTAGTATCTTTATTTTTTAGAGATAAATTGATTAGTTCTTTTTGTAAATTATAAATTTTACCTATTCGTTTTTTTTTCTATTTTTTAAAATAAAGAATAAAAACAAATTGAAAGGTAATAAAAGGGATTAAGTTACAAGAATATTAAAAAATAAGGAGATTAAATCATTATTTTTTGAAACAAGATAAACTAATTATTTTGTTTCTTGAGACTAAAGAAACTAGTTTATAATTTACTCCAAACTTTAAATATATTTCTGTTAATTGTATCTGTTCTCCACATTTGACTAAATTTTGGCAGCCAGTTGTTGTTCCTACTTTTTTCATCCATAATAATATAGGACATTATGAAGTATACATGTCTAATAACTATTAATTTCATGACCATCATCTCGATCATCATGATTGGCCCATTTTCCCTCTATTAAATTCCTCCGCCGGTAATTGTATTATTATACACCGAATGTAGGTCCACCAACCGTTGAGTTTAGTGGAGTTGTTAACAGCCAAAATTGGAGTCTGCTTTCATTAATTGCTACGAATTTTATCCTAAACTATTGCTTAACATGTTTCCTCTATTCTTTATCAGACATCTGAAAAATTGAAAATTATGAATGTTTGAGTGATAGATCAATTGGCAATGTCATTTGACTTTAATTTGCAACAGTCACTTCATAAACAAAAAGATATCAAGAAAGGAGATGGTTAATTTCTGTTGTGTAACTCAAAACAATGGATCTCCAAATTAACCAACAAAAAATACAATGAAGCTTCCCAAAATAAAACTCCCCATTAAACCTATAAATTCAAAACTATATAATAGACATATATGAAAAGATTGATAGCTATTGAAAGGGGAACATATTTTAACTATCTCCTCTCTTTTTTCTTAAAAAAAAATAAACTATTAATTTGCTCTTGATTTTTTTTTTAACATTTAATGTGTGTGTGTCGTGAATTCAATTTTTTTTTTTCAAAGAAAATGTCAATTTAGTTCTAAACTAGTGATCTCATTAGTTTTAACAATCACCATAATGGACATCAAACAATACAATCGATCTTTCTATCCATTCATTGTTAACGACAGTTAAAAGATTTTATTAAATTCAAATGTGATATGCACGGGCTAATAAATTCTTGTTAATATTGTAACATGCTGCAAAGGTCTCCACCACAGCAACTCCTCCTCCCCTAGCTGGTGCTTCTGTGTATATTAATCACTGGTGCAATCGATCCATCCATGACATGAACTTTGGTTCTATGAGAAGCTGCCACTTGGCGAGCCGGGACGATCTTAGAGCCCACCATTAACTTACAACAAATAATTTGATGTTTCTCACAATAATATTCTAACAAGCTGCAAGAGTCACCACCACAGCTAGAGCTTCTCAATTTCCTGTTTTTGTCTTGTCTACATGTTTCTCGCTAGCCGGCCTGCACCAAGAAATTAAGGGAAAGCAAGTCCTGAAATGAAGGAATTAATGTGAAAACTACGTCTAATCTCTCAGATTTTCCAAATAGCCATTCAATAATTATACATCTCTGAGGATTTATTATATTGGAGGGTAGGCAGCAGGCTACTTTTTGTATAATTGCTTCACCATTAATTGTACTAGGACTCCTCAACAATGGAGTTTGTTGTGGAGTTACTGCAATGTTGATGCTTTAAGTGTATTATATGGTGTAGTAACTATAGTTTAATGATTTTTAAATTTTGAATCCTATGGATTTCATTTTACTATTTTCTTCAAATCTAATTATCTAAATCACAATAAACATTAATTGTTTTCGTAGTTTGAACATTGATATTCTAAACTCCTTGCTTATTAGCTAGCATTTTCATTTTCTTTTTTGACATTAAGGATTTTACACTTTTGTTCTTGTGTGAATTCAATTTTCGGACTACTCTCGAAATTATATTCTGTTACCGATAAGACCACGCGTTTATTACAACGGTGAAGGATTAGTTGAGTACTTAAAATTTTCCTAAAATTTCATAACGGGGAGGAAAACAAACAAACAAATAAAGATTTCCAAACAATTAGAGATGGTCTACTGGATGACAAGGTAAGGCATTTATTTCACCAACCATACAGGAAATTTTTTGGATTTAAACTGACTTGTCAAACAATCATATTACGATTATAATTGCTCACCAATCTTTAAGGAAGATTGAGATAAAGTTTTGTTTGCAAAGTTGTTTATTAATTATTTATTCTATCAAATCACAAAATCTTATACATGGACTAAAAGATGAGCATATGAGAATAGTTTAAGTGACTAATTAAATGTCTTTGGCCAATAAATGTTAAGGGTTTTATACATATCAAGAATTTATATAATTTGAATTTTTTTTAATTGAGATTTTAAGTTTTTTCTGTTCAATTTAAGAGTTTTATTTTTATATTTTTTTTGTTCCAAATCCTAATATATCACGTAAACACACGTGATAAGTCTAACAAATTATAACTTACTACGTGTGGTAATGAGTCCAAATTATATGATTGAATAGATGATGTGATAAACTATTATTAATTAGAGTTTGAAATAATAATAACATAAAAATAAAATTTTTAAATAAAAAAATTTCAAATTATTCAGGATATTAATATAAGTAAAACTCATAAATTTAATTATCTATCTAGCTTATCGATTCTTAACTTCCCAATAAAATAGAAATTCGATTTTTTAATCTTCGATCATGCGTAAGTGCACGCGTGCACACCTATTGGAACTTACAGGGAATCCCTGTTCATAGCATGGTACAATTTAAATAATGACCCAACATCCAAACCACATGTTGTCCTGAAATTGGGTGACCGACTGCGTTTTGTAATCAAATCCCTGGTTAAGTGTCGGCCATCGCTTAATCTAACGCTTTCACTGGTTTCCCATGATCCGAAACTATGAAGTGTACTCCTTTTAGACGTTCTAATTAAAAAGCTGCTTTTAATTATATAGTGCACTGTGTTCCAGAATATGTGGTTCATTTTTTTCCCGATCCATGTGAAGGATAGGGAACACGCCCTCCCTAGGATAGTAGAGTAGTTAAGAAAGGAGAAGGAAAACCTGACAGAGCACTTTTAATAATGAAAGTAGGATCTTCATTCCAATCAGATGATGTTAATCAACAGAAGGCGCAAACAATAAATGTAATTATGTTTTGTAAGTAAGAGATTATTTGATATTGGTATTCATCTTCATTAAAATAAATAAATAAATAAAATTAGGAAGATGGGTAAGCATCCACTCAAATTCAAGGTGCATTTTTATACAGAAAAATATTTTATTTAAAATGATTATTTTCTTGAAAATAAATTGTTTTCTATTATCTGATTGTGTTAGGGACAATTTTTTGAAAAACGATTACTTTCAACTGGTAATCATAAAGTGGCGGTAGTAAAGAAAATATAAGCTATGATGATGGTATTAACGGCTGCGGGGTTGGGACAAAGGTAATTAGGATTGTAATTTCATTTGGCTCGCTAGAGAATTGACATCATCATAGATCCAATTGGATCGAATTTTTATTTTGTTTGAGGTTTGATGTGATTGAATTTTTATCTTGTCGGATTTCATTACAGTCGGAAAATGCCACTACCTACCTATCTTTCAGCAGACTCGATATATATATATATTTTAAATGCATCAATCATATAATTAGCCAGTCAGCAAGTAATAAATAGATAATTTGACTTGTAAAAACAAAAGAAATCTCCAATGATTCATGTGTGTAATCGTCTAATCACTAGCTAGCTAATATGGACAGATGATATTTGATTACTTAATTTATATTCTTAATTCATCGTTGCTGTTTGTTGAATTTGGTCTCGAAGTAGAATGGTTCATTGTTCTAATTTATGATCAATAATTTTGTAATAAAATAATATAGGGTTCGGTTTCGATTAACAAACCATTAGGACTTTTCATGGATACTCAATTTAAAAAACTATAAAATAAAAAAAATGTTATTAATCGAAGAAATAACACTCGAGGGATAGAGAGAATTTCGCCAATCGAAAAGACAAAACTCATTAGAAAAGTCTAAATATTATAAATCGAAAGATATGACGTTTATATTATTAGCTATCAAAATACTCGAAGCCATTTGACCATAATTAACGACAGATCAACACTTTCTAGGTTATAATAGTGAAACTATTGAAAATAGTAAATGTTATATATGAAAAATAGAAAGGAAAACAAGTAAAGGTTATCGAACTATTTAGAAGAATGTAAAAACTAATTGCTATGGGATAAACCGAAAAACTCGAATAAGTTTGTGTTGAAAAAGTCTTGTATGTTGATTGTTATACCCGATTTTGTCCGTTTCTTCTCTTTAAACGAATCCACGATTGATAACTACCTTAGAATTGAAGGTGGGCGTGAATAGTTATTGATAACTATTCCTTTATTTTCTTTAAATACATCGCTTCATCGAATATGACCGATTACAAGACTAAACGCATCATTTTATTTAAGTCTTATTGTTTTGTCGAGTTTGGTTTGTTATAAAACCAAACACACCCTTTCATTTAATTCTAATTTTTTCATTGAATTTAGTTGGTTATAAAACCAAACGTACCGTTTTATTTAAATCTCACTATATCATTGTAAGAGGATATCATATTTAATTGACATGTCACTTTTAAATTTTGAGGTGCTAACAGCCATATTTTATATTAACATTTTAAATATATATGACTTGGTAAAACAAGATATCTTGGTATGCAAATTTTTTTTTCTCTAATTTTTTAGAATATGATTTTATAAGGTGGTTTATGAATGCAAATAATAATAATAATAAATAAGTTTTTTTTTACTAATGATTAAAACAGCTAAGGTCGAGAAAAGTAGCCAATGAACATTCAGGAGGTGAATAAAAGGATTAAAATTGTAGTATTATAAATCTATATAAACGGATAAGTTATTGTTTCTAACCTATACCAATTTAACTAAACCTTTTTTCCTCCTTATCCTCCCATATGACTGCAGCCATCAATACACTTATTACTCCCACTCCTTTTTATATTTTCTATTTCTAATACCTCAAAACCTATCTCTTCTTTTGTTTTTTTTATTCGATCAGTTTCCTTCTAAACGGATCAAGGTATTACATACGATAGAGAAAGATTGAAAACTCCATAGAGCCAACACACTAAAATCACACAAACAACTTGAAAATTTAATTAAAATTTGAAACCCAATCCAAGCACTATCATAAAGCTTGACAATTTTACACGAGTAAAACCAGGAGACTTCTTTTTCCACCGCACCAGTTTTTTCAATGAAAAGGATTGAATGAATTGAAACCTATTGATTCTTGTCAAAATCACATCAAAATTGACAAAACACAAATGGATTTGAAATATATCCATTATTTTTAATTAGAAGTTAAGAACTCAATTATATTTTTTATCCAAGGGAAGAAGACGGGATGGTGCGAGAGATCACAGTTCTCAAATAAGAAAATAAAATGAAGGAGGAAGATTAAAATAATTTGGAGTTGGTGGTTTGTATTTGATTATTTGTTTTTGGAAAAAGATAGAAATTACTAGAGGATAGAGCAATTAAGTTCTTTTTTATGTTTTGAATTAGGAGTTTTTGGTTCGACCTTTCTTTTCTGCTATAGCAAGAAATGTACTCGATTGATCTAGTTATTAGGAAGTTTTTATGGACACAAAATTATTGTTGTGATTATGTCCAGTAGAATGACCTTTAAGGGTCATTAGAAAGTATTTCTAACAAAACCACTCCAAATTTAGTTTTCGTTGTTTACATAACAAATAAAAAAACTGGAAAAACGAATCGTTAAATCAGCAACAAAGAACATGATTTAAAGATGCAAGAAGAATTGAGACAGTCTTTTCTTGGTTCCAGTAGTTTGCTAATTATAATTGATCCATCTCCATAATTGTGGTTCACTCGCACCGAGAGGAATCAACTTTTGAATGATAATGGTCTAATGGGAATGATCTTTACAAAATAAGGGAGAAGTGGTAAGATGTCGAAGTTGAGGTCTGTCTTCATTAATTATGTCTAAATATATATATTAGTATAAAAAAGGAAAAAGAAAAAATTAGAGAGATCATTTGTTTATTTCACATTAAAGGATATCAAGCATCCGACAATCGAGAAACCTAATTTTATAGATATGATCATACCAATAAATTGTTAGGCATTTTCATCACTAAAGAAGAATTACTTTATTAGGCATAATTTATCGTGGTTCACCACATTTGCCTTCCAAGAGCAGGGCACATATACAATTGAGACGAATAAACTTTTTGAACGGCAATGGTCTCTCATTTGTTGAGACCAGAATGTAATAAAACATATCATAAGTACAAGAACTGACAAACCTATGATTAAATAAATTCTAAATGGAATCTCTATGCGTGTCATGTGGATTTATCAATTTGTAGTTTGCTCTATGGAATGGGATTCATTCACGAAGACGAATGATTCAGGTTTGTTTGTTTCATAAACTAACAACTTCGCATGTGTGAATGTTTTTTTGTTTTTTCAGACAAAGATTGGAGGGGAGAAGACGGATTTACGTTTCATCGAGTTGAGTCGAGTTCAACGACAACGAGGATAATTAATTATTTAAAAATCATAGGTAGAACTGGAAATTGTGAAAATTATGGCCAGTCAAATATGAAATGGTCAAAATACGCGTAAATTAGAATTAGGCCCTGGAGCTTGACGCCCACACGCTGTTGCAAAGCGTTGGTAACAAAATCCAATTAGAGGGAGACAAACAGCCGCTACCCAGGTTGGCCCCAACCTCCTCCCTACCTAATGTAAGCCACTTCTCACCTTTTGATTTCTCTGCCTCCACTACGCGCACCCCATCTCAATCGGTCAAGTGGATTTGTCCACTCATTTTCATTTCCCCTTCTCTTTTTTTCACCCTTTTAGTCTAATATTGACCTTAGCGCCACAGCATGACGGCGAAGGAGGTGTGCATTCTTTTTATCCTTCCAGATTCAAACTTTAAACCGGCTATAAAAAAATATTTTTTTCATAAACTTGTTGATTATGATCTAGAAAATTAATCTAAAAATACTTTTTTATTGGTTTAAAGAAAAACATTTTGGACTGTCACGTATATAAATTAAAGTCGATGTCTTCTATGTTCGGGATCCTTATTTAAATCTAATGAATTAATCAAAAGTGCCCAACCTAGTATTATAATATTCAGACCCCCCATCTCTCTCTCTCTGCCCCCTCATCTCTCTTATGTATATATAATAGGTAGCACCTCGACCATTATCGATCATACCTCCAAAATTCAAAGTTCAAACTAAAATTCTTGATTGCTACCTTCGATAATTTTCTTCCTTCCTTCTTCCGTTCCTTCCTCCCTTAATTATAAGCAAGAATGGTAGTTCCTTCTCCAACTGCAATACGAACCAAAAAAACGAAGGCCTTAGGAATTCCTACAGTTGATCTTTCTCTTGATAAGTCAAACGTATCACAATTGATCGTAAGAGCATGTGAAGAATATGGATTCTTCAAAGTTATTAATCATGGGGTCAATAAGGAGGTCGTAACAAGACTGGAGGAGGAAGCTGTTCATTTTTTCGGAAAGCCAGCCACGGAAAAGCAACAAGCTGGACCTGCTAGTCCTTTTGGCTATGGTTGCAAAAACATTGGCTGCCATGGTGACACGGGGGAGCTTGAATATCTTCTCCTTCACACCAATCCTCACTCCATCTGTGAAAGATCCAAAACCATCTCGAATGAACCTTCAGAATTCAGGTAATTACACATGTCCTGTATATCTTGTCTTTTAATTTCATTGATTAATCATGCAGTTTTGGAATCTTCTATTGAAGTATGTTGTTCTTAATTAAGTGGATCATAAATGATGATTATCATGAAAATGCATACCATGTAGTTTCATTAATGAAACGAATGATGACAGACACGATGACAAAAATAATCAATATGGTACAGGATTAAAAGGGTAGGAAGGTTTTAGTTTTCTGCTTCCCAATGTGATACAGGTTCGCGCGGTTTATGCTCAGTTTGTGGCGTGCTTGATTCATTTTCGACGAATTTTTTATTGTTTAATTTAATATTTATATCATAACGGTTGCACATTTTTAAAGAACTTTGGGACGGTGGGCTAGGGAATTTCTTTAATTATGAAAATGAAATGGTGGAAGATTAATTGTTTAGTTTAAATGCTTGGTATCCTAGAAAAAGGACATCTTTCCTGTATCGAAAAAGAAAGAAATAGTACTAATTAAATAAACATCAATAGATTTACAGGTGACAATTGATTTTCGTTACTTTTCCTCTTAATTTAATACTTTATCCAATAGTTCCGTTTACCTCATGATTAACTGTAATAGCATTCTAGCTAAAAAGCCCTTATATACCTCGGATCAATACCTGTTCTGATATTCATCATCATCACTAAACACCTTTGAAGGTCTTTCAGTACTCTTTAATAATCCTAGTGTCTTTAGGGCTTTCCCCATTCTAGTTGCTTTTGATTAATAAATATTTCCATTAAAAAATAATAATATTAACCATGAAAACAAACCGAATACTTGCAGAGTTTATGTTTCCAGCTTGTGATTGAAGAACGTAATCCTTGTCTTACTTTCCCTTTTGTACTGTCAACAACCATTAGCCATATGGCATGGTTCTTTATATATGGGTAGAAATGTGGGGCCTAAAACGGTCCAACTTGACTCGTGAAACAATCCTAGGAATTACGAAGAGTCAGCAAAACCTAGCTACTAAAAAGATTAAAAAGTTCACCCTTTTTTTCCCCTTTAATGTTAAAGGTATCTTTAAATTAGTTTTTTATGTTAAATTAAATATTTCTTTGATCTAAGTTTAAAGGTACGATACAAATATTCATCACGTAATTCATGCGCAAATTTTCAGAATAAGAAAAATTATAGAGTTCACTTTTTCAAGTATGATTGCTTCAAATTTTGCTTATAGATGTCCAACAAAAATCAATCTTGCGTTATTGCATGCACTGGCGAGTATAGATAATAAAAATGAAGAGTCATGATTTAAGGAAAAAAAAAAAAAGATTTCTTTATACAAGGATCGAGTGGATCTTGTCGCGCTCAAGGTTGAGCCTACGTTGAACCAATTACATATTTACATTAGACAAGAGAAAGACAGTGTGCAAATGCTTGGGACATATGTCCTTGTATTGGACCCTCGCATATCTACGGGTATAGAATCATAATATCCAAAATTTTATTTATGTTTCATTTTCTTTTACCAATAATTAGAAACATTATTAATAATGAAGCCCCACTTTTCTGGCAGTCGAGCACTAGCCAATAACCATATCATTGCTTATATGAACAAAACAATTTATAATGAAATGATAAAGTCATAGAGAAATCGATGGCTTCATTGTCAAATCAAGGAAGAAATAAAAATTTCACAATCAAATCAAGAAAAAAGATACGGTGATCAGCTTGGCATATACTAAATTGGGAAATAGAAAATTACGTTCTTTACCCCGCAGGAAAGAATATTATACTAAATGTAGGTGTATGTATATATATATATATAAGGGAAGTATAAGAACTTTATTCGTTAAGGACCTTGTTCTTCAAAAAAAAATGAATTTCTATTACTTTGCAAATCCAATTCTATAATTAATGTTTGTTAATTATCAATTCAAGTTAGTAATTTTTTTTTAAAAAAATTTGTTGCCTTTCTATTGCTGAGTGCCGGCATTAACATTTTTGTACAGTTGTGTAGTGAGTGACTACATAGAAGCGGTGAGGCAACTGGCGAGCGAGATTCTTGATCTTGCAGCTGAGGGCTTGTGGGTCCCGGATAAACATGTATTTAGTAGACTCATCAACGACGTTCATAGCGATTCAGTTCTTAGACTTAATCACTATCCTGCAGTCGAAGAGATCGTAGATTGGGACCCATCACCTAAAAGAATTGGTTTTGGTGAGCACTCAGACCCTCAAATCTTGACAATCTTGCGATCCAACGATGTTGCGGGCCTCCAAATTTGTTTCCATGATGGTTTGTGGGTTCCCGTCCCTCCCGACCCCACAGGATTCTACGTGATTGTAGGGGATACCTTTCAGGTTTGTAATAATCACTCATGTAGGCTATCATTTTCTCCATTATTAAAGAGAGAAACAAAACACACATACTATCTTATTTTCTCAATTATGACGAACAATAATAATACTAATAATGTTGCTAAAATATGCTTTTTATGGTGTCAATTTTTAGGTTTTAACGAATGGGAGGTTTGAAAGCGTGAGGCATAGGGTATTGGCCAACTCGAGTAAGACAAGAAGGTCAATGATGTATTTTGGGGCACCACCCCTTAATGCATGGATTTCTCCTCTCCCCCATATGGTTTCACCACAAAATCCAAGCCTATATAAACCCTTCACTTGGAATGAATTCAAGAAAGCCGCCTATTCTCTGCGATTGGGACATACTCGTCTTGACCTCTTCAAGATTCATGCCACGGATTAATTTGCTTCTTGATTTAATAGTTTACCAGATATATATTAATTGTAATTGGCCTTCCGTACGTATATTAATTAAGGTCCCAGTCTTCTTGTACTTCATGACGAGGATAGAAAGAATTAGGGGAACGAAAAACGAAAAAAAAAAAAACCTTTTGTAGCAGTAAATAGGTCAAAAGTAATTAAGTTGAAGTATCATTTCTATCAGGATCGGCAGTGGGAAAGTTTCCTCTTTCCCTTTTTTTTTTTTTTTTTCCTTCTTCTTTCTAGCACTCTGGTTCCTAACATTATTTTAGTTGTAGCGCCGTGTGAATGTAGGGAAAATAGTGTAAGGTGGAAGTCACTCGGATTCATCCTATTAAAAAATATGGCCATTTATTTTGTATGTATTTTGTCGACAACCTCTGTGCTGTTATTTTATTATTCTTATTTGTTTTTTTCCGAGAAATAGAGCCTCTCTGTTATTGTTTACATATATAACAGCGTTATTATTTAATAGTAGGAAATTAATTTCTCCCTCTTGTTTTCTTTCCATTCTGTACAAAACAAGTTCTATTCACATATGGTTGATCATCCGTTTTTTTGTTTGTTAACCATATAGGATTTTCGAATCAATTTATATAAGATCACGAAATTACTTTCACTTTCTAAGCCCAAGAAATTCATGAGAAATTGTCATGAATATTTTTCAAATATTTTATGCATTTCTACTGTTATCAGTTGTCTGAAAATGGTAGTATCATCTTGATACCTTCCTCATTAGCTGCTCTAGGTTACAATAGTCATGTCATTAATTAAGTCAATTATTAAGTTGGGTGATTTTCAAAAATCCATCTTCCAAAAATTAATTACCATGAAACAAAAATAGTACTCATTTAATATCTTTATAATCATACCCAATGACCTTTTCAGAATTAATTTATTTAGATTTTAACTCGTGATTTTTTACAAAAGACTATTATTATTAGACTATAAGCTCTTTAGTGGTCAATAGCTCCCGCATTAACACAATTACTACTTTCATTTTATCTCTATATATATAACCTCACTATTTGTATGAACTCTCTATTTTAAATTGAAAAAAAAAAGTTCAAGCCTAAGGTTTTAAAGAAATTAATCTCATATTTCATTTATGCACTTTTAATTTTTTTTTTAATAAAATCCTTCATCCTTTTATTTATTTATTTGGTTTTTATATTTTAGTCATTTTTCAATGTGGTATCTATGATAGGATTTCGATCAATTTTTTAATAACAAATGCATGTAGACGGTCATGCCAGATAAAAAGTTAAATATGTCAAAAAAAAATTTAATCTCAAAAAATAAAAAAAAATAAAAAAGGAAAAAAAAATTTTTAAGGGCGTGGGAAATTTTTTTCTTCAAAATTATAATTTTTTAATACATGTAACGATTATCTAACGTAGTAGTTCACCGATCACTTGTTATTGAAAAATTGACCGAAATCTTATTAAAAGAATTATATTAAAAAAATGACTAAATATAACAAATAATAAAAATAATTCAGTTTCAGTGGTCAAATGGGATTTCACCTTAACACCTTTATTTAAGTGAAAACTGAAATTGTTGTCAATATCTCAAGCACCTCTATTTTGACCTTTTCCTTTTCTGAAAATAATTTTTCATTGGAGTCTTTGTTAAATATAATCCGTAACGAATTAAATTCTGAGAGCAGTAAATATAATTTCTAAAAGTTAAAAATGAAAAAAAAGTACCTAATATACAATACAATATAGTTTTGAAATATATACTGAAATATACTTCACTACAATACTGTTTGTTTCATGTAAAAATTCTGATTTCCTAGTTAATTTTTTCACATTTAGCTCATCCATAGAAATTTCGCAGCCAAATAAAAAACAAGCTTAAAACAATAGAAAACTACCTACGATTCTCAAAAGATAAAAATATGTTTGGAGATTTTTTTTTTACCATGAAATCATGGATGCTATACCACTAATTAATTCTTGTTCTTTTTATTTTTAACACTTAGTTTTGATAAATTCCAAACACCAAACAATTGTTTCCAAATAGTTTTTATTGACATAATCAAACAATGAAAATGACATCATTTTTTTGGCTATATATGTTAATGAAAACAATGTATTTTACATGAAAGAATTGTTGCTCTATTTTGAGAGTTTAGTTTGAAATCATCCATAACATAGGCACCCAAGAGATGAAAAAAATGTTACATTAATTAATTGTTGAAGCCATGCATGGTCTAGTATTCATTTATTAGTATTATTGATCATGAACGGATATTTCTTGCTTTCTAGATTTCTTTCATTACCAAAAAAAAAAAAAACAAAAGAAAAGACTAAATTTGTTGTACCAGAATACAATTAATTTTTGAAATGAACCCATCATCACCTTTTGAGATAATGAATTATTGTTTAATATTTGGGTAAGCAATGAATTTTCTTTAGAAAATATGTATTTTTGTGTTTGGTATGACTATCTGGTCCAAATGCTAAATCATTGTCCAGCAAGCTAGAGAAAGAGGAAAAAGCATAGACAACATGACAATTTACCAATAAGAAAGAAATCTAAAAGAAGTAATAAAATGGTATTACTATTGTTTTGATATGGACAAAGAGTTGAATATTAATTAATGCTTGGCATCCGGCCTGGTTTGGAATGGCAGAGGTAGGACGTTGCCATCCAACGCCCTAATGATTACTTAGATTAGGTTACCGAACAACCTCGGTTGGACTGATGATCAAACTCAGCTTAACCAAATCTACTAAAACTAAGGTTGGATAGCTAGCTTAGCTAGCTAGCCAGGGGCACTAATTAATTAAATGATTTTAAGCTCGGGTTGACTTATTAACTACTTGCACATGTACCATATGGGAGCGGTAGTATCTTTCATTTACTTTTCTGGAAAGATTTTTAACTAATTCTACCACAATTGTTACAATTAACTATAATACAGGATCATATATATATATATATAAGAGTAGAGTTAATTTGGTTGACAACTAGATACGTCCCTGTTCCCGGCTGTAATTCAATTTTACGACAATATTGCCAACCAGGTCCTAAATTTTGATTGCGACGCTTATTTATTTTTATATTATTGGGAGATGAACGGTTGTTGATCTAGAGCATATGGATATACTCCGTCTGAACTGGTTTCATCTAAATAATATGAAATAATACCATTAATTTCATAATTAGATAAAATAAATCATGACTTTTTTGACTACACAACAATTTGCTTAGTCTTTTTTAGTTTTGTATGAATACAAAATTTGGTTAGTTATGGGAAACTATATTTATTGACCAAGAATTCCATTAACATAAATATATTCATCGATTTAATTTTTTTTTTTTTTTGTATAATCTTTGTATATTTTCAAAGTGATATTCCTCTTCCACTATATATATTGCTCATCAAGGATCTAACCTATTTCATTATAAGTGTCGCTACTCGATATCGGATGGGATTTTCAAAAATTAAATTCCTATTTACAAACTTTATTTACAAGTTTGGAGTAGCCACCTAGTATTAAGAAACTATGAATCTAAAAGTAACACTCGGTTCAGAAATTTTGTGATAAGTAGTTGGTTACGCTTTGAGAAGACATAAATTACCTAAAAACGCCTTTTTTAAAAAAAGTTATCACGTCTAGTTTGATTTTAAATTCATCTCCTAAAATGTTTATTTATGCCAAATGACTTTTTTAACTATGCAACAATTTGCTTAATCTTTTTAAGTTTTGTATGAATACAAAATTTGGTTAGTTATTAGAAACTATATTTATTGACCAAGAATTCCATTACAATAAATATATTTATCGATTTATTCTTTTTTTGTATGATCTTTATATATTTTCAAAGTGATATTCCTCTCCTACTATATATGTTGCTAGTTAAGGATCTAACCTATTTCATTATAAGAAAAATGACAAAAAACACAACTACTAGAAAAACATCCATGTATTTTTTAAAATTTAATATAAGAGCAACATCGGTTTAGAAATTCTATAGTAAGGAGGTGATTACGTTTTGGGAAGACATAAATCACTCGGAGACGCTATTTTCTAAGAAAGATACCCGATCTAGTTCGAGTCCTAAATTTATCTCCTAAAATGTTTATTTATGTCAAATGACTTTTTTAACTATGCAACAATCTGCTTAATCTTTTTTTTAGTATTGTACGAATACAAAATTTGGTTAGTTATCATAATCTTTACTTATTGACTAAGAATTCCATTACAATAAATATATTTATCGATTGATTATTATTATTTTTTTTGTATAATCTTTATATATTTTCAAATTGATATTCCTCTCTCACTGTATTTATTACTCGTCAAGGATCTAACCTATTTCATTGTAAGAAAAATGACAAAAAAATACAATTACTAGATAAACATACATGTATTTTTCAAAATGTAATAGAAAAACATGACTTTGTTGCTTTCATTTTACACTTCTGACTGTTAGAATGGTGTTTAAATTTTTCAGATTGCAATACCGTACAGACTTTAAATTGGATGCAATATCTTATCATATATACATGGTAATTTATTTATTTTTTCTATAAAAAAAATATGTAATTTAAGTTTTCGCTTGGATGATGCCTGGTCTAATGTTGCGGCTTAAAAAGTGGAGCTCTGTTCAATTGATGCGATTGGTATACCAAGAAAAATTACATGATACCAAAGTCTGAGCAAGCTTGTTCGCTTATAAATTGGTTTTGGGTCAAAAATCATTAGCAAAAATGTACAGATATTTTGGCCCAATTGACGCTGACCCTGATATGATAAGATGTACTTACCAATTCATATGTTAAGCACTAATTCTTAGCCTAACAAAGTACAGCGAACATGGATTAACATCAAACTTATTGAAGTGAACGAAAAGTTTTCTTAATAGAGAGGGATTGAGGCGACATGCCCTGCTTTCAATCTCACCAACCATGAAAAAGAAACAATTCATAATGGTTTGATCAACCAGACAGTGCCTTGTGCAATAGGCTCTCGAAATAATATTAGGTACGAAATCGATAATGACTCAAAACAAGCTACTTTTGGACTATTTTAAGATACTTATTGCTTCTTCTAGGGATATTTCCTTAATTTGCATTCCTTGTTAATATCCCAATTGCCCGTAAAAGTATTACCATGATGATCAATCTAAACGGCCCAATAAATTAACCTCACTTAATGAATAATATTGTTCACCAATTTGCAAGATCATATATGTCAATCGACAAATTAGTCATAGGACGATGATGCTGGTTTATTCTAATTTTTAGTTTTTAGATATAGGATTAATTACAGGTGTCAATCAGAATTCAGAAATAACTTGTTATATCCAGCCAACAGTCGACAAATGAGTGACACTGCTTATTTATAACACCGTCGATCTTAATTGATGTTTTGTAGTTTTATACAGCCATGCAAAATAAAGTTGATGAAACACAGTATGGTTGGATTTAAGTGATCTTTAGTAGCCCAACGCCCCATTGACTCGTGCAAAGAAGGTTAGATGACCAACACCCTCACAAAACTTACATGGCAAGAATTGCATGGATAGATTTCATGTCTCCAATATTTTTATGCGGAAAAATGCGTTCAAGTTTTCATGAAGAAGCTGTACAATTAATTATATTGATTAAAATTCCCACAATCTTGTTTCCATATGTAAATATACACCCACTTAATTATTAGGTATAACTATATGTAATTAAAGCCACACATATAGCATTCTTGTTGTAGAATTAATCACGGTTCAAAAGGGTGCGTAGTTAAACTGATGTTTATAAGTTATAAAAAGGAGAGTAGGTTGATAAGCAAGAGAGCTGTTTCGTTCTGTATTTCTGTCCCTGTCCTAGGCTTGTTCGGCCAAACATGGCTTCATTAGTGTTGTTGCTGAAAGCTCTGGTGAGATGCCACCAGGACGATCTTTTTCCAGAGGAAGTGAAAGAATCAAATGGCAAAACCAGCCACAGCATGAGGAAACACGGGACTGAAACTAGGTTTGCCGCTGGGGAGCATAATTGTGAGAATGAAGATGACAAGAGAGTCCACCGCTGGAAGATCTCTGAATCTTGCATCTGGAGTTGAATTGAAGCACTGATAAGTTGTCCTTCCCAGCTGGATTCTAATATTTCAACCCTATAGATATGCAATTACACTTCAAATAGTTTTTTTTTTCTTTGGGTATAAATATCAAACAATTAAATATATAACATCTATATATGCTACTTGAGTTTTATTACACATACATGTATAAAATGTTCGATATGATGAAAAATGAGATCTGTGTGTGTGTGTTTTTTTTAAAAAAATTCTCAACATTGCATTATACTACGTCTGATCTAACATTTATAGCCATCGAACAAAATGATGTCAAAGCATTAGCAGTTTAGCACAGAAATATATATATATATATATAATATAATGCATAGCAAATGCTCCATCACCATTAGCCAAAACTGTGCCAGCCAAAGCATATGTAATCTTCTTCTTATTTATTATTATTATTACTATTATTATTATGGCATGATTACATTATAATTACATTAAGTTTTAATTTTTTTCTCAATCAACTATATAAATTTTATTTTAAATACATTAATTTTTTTAAAAAAAACTAAGCAAGTATATCAATAATTTTGCCATAAATTGATGATGTGCCTGTTACACCATAATACCAAATTATACTTTACTCTTTTTGTTTTTTTTTCTCAATTGAATAAATAGATTTTAATTTTTTTTAGTACACTAATTAAAACTGTAAATTAAATACTTTCATCAATTTTTTTAGTTGACTCGATAATGTGTTCGTTACTTTTAAAATATCAAATTACAGCTTTTTTTTCTTTTTCTTTTTCTTGCTTTATGGACCTTTTCTTCCAACTACTCACAAGAAACGAATCTTTTTGATACAAATTCTTATGTTTGTGTTTTTCTTCGATTTCATGCCTAAAACAGCACAACAAGTTTAAGGACATTATAAATTGACCCTAAATTGAAGAAGAATTCAATTTTTAAGGGTTAATGAGCCAGGTATCCCCATCAACATAGTAAGTTCCAATAAAAGGCCGAGCCTCTTCATCTGTCAGAACACGAGCCCATGGCACGCGCCCTGTCAAGTTGGCTCCAGGTCCAGTGCACTGGTATTCTCCGTAATACACTTTACTGTCAAAACAAATAACGGAAAAGAAGTGCTTCATAATTTATAAATTATACCCTTTTGTACTTTAGGTTAAATCTTCAGGCTGCGAGATTTTTTGACGGAAAAAAATAGAAAAAAGAAAAAAGAAAAAAGAGAGAGATATTAAACTATTAAATTTGTACAAATGACTGATTATGTTAACTTACGGATCGCGTTTTTGGTCACCCCAATCATTCCAGCCTTGAGGAAGAATAATTTTGTCCATGCAAGTGTAAGAGAAAATAACTCTGGAATAATCACCCCAAGCTCTACCGAGGTAAATCAAACCACTCCCAGTTATTGTAGAATCTTTGAAGGAAAACCCACTTGCCAATGACGAATTGCTACGCTTTTGAGCAGTCAGGGATGCCACTTTCTTAGCAATGGAATTCAAATGGCAATTCTGCACATCAAGTTTTACGTATTTAATTAGCTATTAGCCGTTAGCTGAGACAGAGTAAACTCTTAGCCTTGCTGATAAAAATTAAGGCCAGTGTGATCACATTAGGAATCGAAAGAATTAAGGTACCATAACTACTCATTTCCACTATATATCTTCAGATTCAATGGGCTTCCAGTGGACCCAAAAAATAAAATAATAAGTTTATTGGTCACTGCCAGGCAAATAAATTAACAGTCTTGATTAACTAATTAGTCCTATCAACTTCCACCCAACCCAATGGCGTAAATTCGTTGTTCAAAAGGGCAAAAAAAAAAAAAAAAGGTCATAAATTGGCAATAACTCGAGATTTTTTTTATGGGAGGAGGGATATTAATGCTATTTGAGTTGAAGGTTAGTGATAAAATAATATTTGTTAAGAAACATGAATTATATTTCGTAAATAAAAAGAAACCAGCATATTAGACATGGAAAATATAATTAATGGAGTATCTACTTTTCAACAACTTGATTTGTGAATGTATATTTCAAAAAATTGTATAATTAACAATTACGAAATTAAAATTTTCAAAAATACGTTAGTAAATGCTAAAATATTATATTGTATACTCTTAAACTAATAATTTTTAATGTAATCTTGAAGAGTATATAAAATTTTCTTGGCTCTCATTGGCCAGGAACATTGGTGATTGACTCACCTCATAAAAGGACCTGCCAGAGCCAAAAATGAAATCAACCGAGCCTTGAATGAAGCAATTCTTAAAGTAGTGGAGGCCCTTGTGATCATAGAGAGTGTCTTGACTTCCATAAAAACTGCAGTTATAAAATGCCGCCTTGGTCCCTGATATACGAATTGCTACGGCTTGCCCTCCTTTGGTTCCAATCACATGTGGAGCTGTATTCTGCATTGATTCACAGAATTTTCTTTTACATTAAATTGAAATGAATTTCCATAATTTAACTGTAGTTTCTCTTTCGGTATTCCTACCAAACATGGACGTACAGGTACTCTTCTGAGTATGAAGTATGAACTGATCATAATGTAAAACAGGGATTTATCAAGGCAAAGAACAATATTATCATCAAAGGATTTGCAATTTTGCAAGTTTTATAAATTATAATTGCTCGTAATTTGATTTGAACCCAGTTTTGCAGTCCCGTGAACAGACACTACTTTTTGTCGGGAATGTTGGATTTTTCGAGTAACAATGGAATCTTTGTGACTACCAACATTAGCATGTCATACGTGTGAGGCGCTAGCTGAGGCTGATATGTTGCCGATCAGATCCAGTTTTATAGAAGGCTCGAGTTACCTTAGCTGAAAAATTACACTTCTACTTTATATTTTTTAATATTTCATACAAATGATGAGGGAAAAAAAGAAGGCAAATATTAAGAAACAAATTAAAGAAAGTTATATATCCCATCCAATTGTAGGAAAACATGTCAAAAAATGCGCTCAAAAACTGGTCTTTAATCAAACCTATTTTGATCATGACTTCCAGCTCTTACCTCAAATTTCATGTTGATGGCAACAAAATAATTTGCATCTACGGCAACAGTTGCACTCTGATATGTTCGCAATGGCTTCCCATCTTTCCCTGAACCTGAGGCAGTGTCATTGCCAGTAATAGTTGGTGGCTCACTCGAGTCCCCTAGAAATGTAACAAAGGGCATTGTTCTAGGGATAAAAATCTTTTCCCTACAATAATCCTCACATCAAGTCAGTATCTTCACGAGTACTGACAATTAATACAGTATTAATGTGATGTACAGCTTTGACATTAAGTGAATCGAAAGCATACCTATAAACACCAGGTTTGATTGCAATTATAACTCTTCTGGTGTTGTATGGTGGAATGCTATCGACAGCTTCTTTTATGGTCTTAAAATGGCCAGTCCCGTCTTGGCTAACATTCACCCTGACACTGTTCATCTCAGCTTTCCTTAGCTTGTCGTCGAGAACTGATTTGCCATCCGCGCCTGCTGTCTGAATGGTTGATTTTGCCCTCAACAAGGCCCTCTTTCGGTTGTTATTAGCATTCCATGACACCCATCTGTTGTAATCTGTTTCTCTGTCTAATGAACTCCATGAAGATGACTTTAAACAAAGAATAGATAATAAAAGAAAGAAGAGAGTATTTAGATAAAAATGGGATTTTGAACCCATGAGATTCTTGGCAGCGCAGCACTGCATGATGCCTTGCCATGGTATAGGAAATATAAAGTGCCAATGGGGTGCGTGAGGAGACGGTTTGAAATTGACATTGTCTAGCACTATATTTACAACATCAACCCTTTTGCGTGTGGTCTCCACAGATATCCAATATCTGAGCTTTGAGGCTGGATATCACAAATTTTGTATCTTGCATGATAGAAAGATGCATGATTGAGATTAGCGAAGCAAAAGGAACGATACATCATGCATGATAGAAAGAAGCAGAAAATAAGCAGTACTCCAGGATTGAAAAGGACATGGAATTCTTGTAAATAACTTTACAGCCCTACGTTAAGTGTTTGATTAGCCACAAATATCCACGACTCGTAAAAATGTTACAATCTTGTAGATATATGTAATTAACTAGCTAAAATCAAACCGGTCTGAATCTTCGTCAAATATTAAACAGTGATATTTGAGATCATAAATTGGAATATTTATCTAATCATGTGCATTGAAAACACATTGCTTTTTGTAGATTTTTTGCTGAAAACACCATATTCCTCGAGCCATTAGTGATGGATGGCTTCAAACGACTCGATTGGCCTTTAAATTAATATGACTGCATTTGGGGTTCCCGTGAAGATACATGTTTGATGTCGAAAGTCCCATACTCTCTTCCTCTGAGATCATTATTGCCATTAAATTGAGGCTAGCTAGATCGCAATCCACGGTTTCGATCAAAGCCAGCTAGGTTGAAAGATTATAATCTCTTTTATAGAAATTCTAATACCAGTTACTCCGTATTTCATATTTTAATTTATGGAGTAAATTCTTCGGTAACCGAAACATGTTCGTGTAAATATAAAGACGTTCTCGTTTTAACATAGGAGAAAAAGAAAGCTGGATAAATTATAAACCCAGGAATAGGGGCATTCTCGGAAGAGGGCTACCAATAAACCATTGCTGACTTGTTGAATGGGGTCCCCAGCTCTTAATTTGCTAAATTTGCAGGATTTAGAACCAGTCAGGAGAGTGAATGGGAAACTAGCTGTCTTCCATTTTCCTATGGAAGTTTGGCCATTCTATCTTGTATATGGAGTGCTAGAAGAGCCAAGTCTAGTGCTGTCCAGAGATTAGCCATTTTATGGATATCATGTGCCCTACATGCCACTGATCGAAGCTTACCACATGGATGAAGGTGCAAATAAGCCTCCTTGTTGGCTTCCAGAGTTCCCCTGCCTCGATCGCTTGAAAGGCAGGGCCTCAAGAACTATTCGAACCAAAGCAAACTATTTGAAGCATTACGGAAAATCTAACACTTGCACATGACTCTGCTTTTCCAGTTATTAGTTTTGTATAATTACGAGCCCCTTCTTAAGAATTGGTTAATAAAGGCTACCCTTTGTTTTTCTCCTACTGAACTCTTCATTCAAAAATAACAGTTTGCGAAAAATTCCTAACCATTCCCCCGGAAAATCCAAGAGGAAAAAAAATGCATGAAAGGCAATAAACCTTGGTATTGTTTCAAAATGTAATAGACCCTCACGCCTTGATACAATGTGAGCATGTTCACGTACTATTTAATGTTGAAAACTGGAAAGATCCATCATTCTTGCTTTTTCCTAACGACAGTGTAATTTCTTGAGTGTCGGTATTCAGTAAATGGGACACGAGCAAATCTAAGTTTCTTTTGCCCAACTATTTTAGCACTATAACTGGCTAGACTTAATTACTTTTGTTTCTTTAATTTTACATCTTTGATTTCTTTACAAGTAATCCTCAAATTAAAAAAAAAAAAATTACTTTTTATCTTTACTTTTTAACCTCAAATATTAATTTTCAATAATAATCTTATATGGTAGTCATTATCTGTAAATAAGTTGTACCTAGAAAAGCATGTTTACCTTAAACTACAATATATGATCTGTCATGTAACCTATTGATATTATAAATACCCATATACCCACATAGGTTAGGTGTGGGCAGCCATTTTATATGGTATCAGACTAAAACACGATCTTTTTTCCTATGTTTCTTAGTGTTAGGTTTCCATCACCATGGCTTCTAGCTCCTCTTCCTCTTGGTTCAATACCAACATCTCCGAGTTTTTCTTTGAAAAACTTGACATGACAAACTACTTAAGCTGGTCTTATCTCTTCAAATCCATTCTTGATATTTATGATTTCAAAAATCATATTGCTCTGATCAATCCTTTGATTCGCCTTGAAATGATTCCTACTGCCAATGGAAAATTTGAGGAGTTGAACCCTGCTCTTCAAACATAGGTCAAATTTGACGGCTTAATCCTAAGTTGGATTAATGCCATGGTAAAGAGAGAAATTCTCCCTCTTCTTTACCGATCTAGCATGGCTTCTGATACTTGGATTGCCCTTGAAGATCATTTTTTTGATAAGTCAACAGCCCACAAGTTGCATCTTAAGTTTGCCATGAAGAAACTTACCAATGGTAATCTCTTTATTAATGCTCACTGCCAACGCTTCAAGGAGCTCATCGATGCCATTATAGGCCGGGGTGAGCATTATTCGATTAAAATTAAAAAATTGAATCGAACTCGAATTAATCATTTTAGTTTGATTTTCTACAAAAATTTTGAAAAAGAAAAACTAAAATTAAAAAACAAAATTATTTCGATTTGGTTTAGTTTTTTTTTTTTAATTCGGTTTCCACCAAAAATTAAATTAGTTTTTTTTTTTTTTGACACACACACCCAAAGACTTCTTGTAAAAAATTATTACCACTAGGTTACAAGCTCTTTGGTATATAATATAATTGATATCTTTTTATATTTCATACCAATTTTTAATTCCTATAAATTTGTGATCTCTACATAGTTTAAGTTAATTTTTTTTTTAAATAAAGATCATTTTGATTCCTAACTAGTGACGAAGTAGGGAGTTTTTTTGTAAAGAAATAAAAGATATTTAAATGAGATATTTTTTTATAAATAAAATAATAGAATTCTTTATTAGAGATAAAGGACTAAAACTATGAATTTTCATTAAATAGCATAAAATTTTAAAAATTGCATCTCTAATCTCCAACTTATGTGTTTCGACATTGCATCTAATGATGCAAAAATTCGATTATATATATATGCAAACTCAAATAAGCTCTTGGGTAAATTTGTGAGGTTAGTGTTGTTTAAACTAGCATGAATGAGACAGGATGCTAAAACTTGAGTAAATTATTATAACACCCCCACCTCGGTTCACTCTTTATTACCCAAACAGGAGTAACTAGGCGAGGCGCGTCACGCCGACACGATCAATTTTCGAATTAACCTTAAACACGTACGTGTTCATATGTTAAGGACTTATCATACAATGAAACGCATCCAAGACAATTTACATAATATTAACAATATAGTGGAAGAAATTACAAAATTATTTACAATATCATCAAAATGTTCATCAATACCCCAACCATAAAATTTACAAATAAAACAAAATCCCGTAAAGTTTATGTCACCCCCGAGCCCTTTTGGAGGATCCGACAACGTCCTTATTGGTACTACAATTATCGCTACTCGTCATAACATGTAAATAACAACAAGATGAGTCGAAGCTCGGTAAGTGGGGTGATGCATGTGATATGTAATGCTTTTCCGACTTCCCATCATTCTTACTAATTTTTAATTCGAGTACCTTGGGTATTAGCGGTCTACTCTATAGATGATTACAAAATTATTTACAATATCATCAAAATGTTCATCAATACCCCAACCATAAAATTTACAAATAAAACAAAATCCCGTAAAGTTTATGTCACCCCCGAGCCCTTTTGGAGGATCCGACAACGTCCTTATTGGTACTACAATTATCGCTACTCGTCATAACATGTAAATAACAACAAGATGAGTCGAAGCTCGGCAAGTGGGGTGATGCATGTGATATGTAATGCTTTTCCGACTTCCCATCATTCTTACTAATTTTTAATTCCGAGTACCTTGGGTATTAGCGGTCTACTCTATAGATGATTACCAAATCACCGAATGCTAACAACGAAATTATCCCTCGTTATGACCACTCGCCGACGGGAATCCATCACCTAACGAGTGCGAGCACATAGCTTAGAGTACGAACACAATCTGGACCGCTAACCCCTTTTTATTCGATTAGGTTATCAAACCTATTCATACAACTCAATTCTCAATTAATTGATTGTGTTCCCATTTCTTTCCTATTGATGCACGTGATACCACAATTACAGTATCATATTAAACATATCCAACCCATACGTAATCCGACTTCATATATTTTCATAGGTCCAACCCACACAGGGTTTCGTGCGTACTCATACCCCTTATCATCATGTTTCATTTTGTTAGAATTAAAGATTGACGAATGGTATTGATTTAGTTGTAAGTCTTATTGTGTATGTGGGTATTTTCTTTTTGTTTCCTATCATAATTCTAATCATTAATTTGTTTCACTATGACTTGAATAATTATTAGCATTTGAACCTATTTTCACTCATTTTAAGGTATATTTTTCTATTTTTATTTTATATCTATTTGAGCCTAATTGACCTTTAATTATGTTATCTTGGTGAAAAGGAATGGAAACCAAGCAAGTATGAAGTAAAAGTGATGAATTTCGAGTGACTAGTGAATTACACGAGCAAAGACACGTTCGTGTGGGAGGTCGTGTAATTGTCCGACTAAAGAAAAACACTTTTCTTCATTACACGAGCAAGGACACGTCCATGTGGGAGGTCGTGTAACTCTCTCGCCTTCAAGAAAAATATATTTCTTCATTACACGGCAATGACACACCCGTGGGGAGGTTGTGTAACTCTCCGACTTGAAGAAAAATACATTTCTTCATTACACGAGCAAGGACACACCCGTATGGAAAGCCGTGTAACTCTCGACTTGAAGAAAAATATATTTCTTCATTACACGGGTAAAAACACACCGGTGTGGGAGGCCGTGTAACTCTCCGGCTTGAAAGTTTACTAAAGAAGAACCCTAAAATTTTTTTTTCTTTTTTCCTACTCCATTTTATTCAAGTTTATACAAGTCTCAAATTTATCCACCATCTTTTGTGTAACCCAATTCCATCATTCACATCCCCCAAACATGAATTTAACCATATACAAGGCTTTTTAAATTTTGGGAAGCAAACAACACAACCAATCAATATAACCAACCATACCAATAAAAATTACAAGGCAAATTAATCAACACAACCAATCACAACAACATATTACCACCTAAACACATATTTAGTCAATTGCATAAAGATTAAATAAATGGTATAAACAAGTAAAAGCTAACCCACTTACTTAGTTTGGATGAGATTAGGTTTCCTTAGTTTTTTTTCCTTTCCTTTCCTTTTTCTTTCTCTTTTAATTGTCGTTTTTCTCTTCCTCACACTTGGTTTTTCTTTTCTCCTTTGGCAACTACTAATTTTTCCAAAATTTCTATCATTCCCTCTCTTTCCCTATATATACATGCCTTCCATTTCCTTGCATAAATTAAGGCTATAGGTGTCTTGAATTTATTAGATAAAGTGTAAAGCAAGTGGGTGAGTCATGGTGAAGGTGGCAAGTTTTGGTGGCAATTTTGGATGAGTTGGCCATTAATTCATTTAATGCATTGCTTAGGAGTCTAACTAAATACTTAGGCTAACTAAACCTCTTAACTAACTTGGTTCCAGTAACTAAACATATTTTCC